ATGTTTGATATTGGACTATAATACCCTACCAGTTTCCTTTTTATACTTATTTGTATACATCATTGGACTGCACCAAGGCATATTAGGTAGTTTTGGGTGTTACATTGTTTTATATATAAAACCCCTCATTCCTCACATGCAGCATGATGTTTATTATCTCTTCTCTTAACTTTGTAGATCATTCTTTTGATTTAGCCATATTTCTAACATGCAGTCAAACATGACACTCAACAAATCCCTAACTAGTTCAGGTATTCCAAGTGTTCCAGCTCAAGCACAACTGGTGCAACTAATAAAGATTGCAACACCTGTTTTGCATATTTGTGCTGTTATGAGAGATTCTATTCAGGGGGTTGAATAATTTTTAGACTGGCGAAGTCATTATAAGTTGCATTTTCAGTTACGTTTTGTAAAATCATTTGAAGCATTCGTTGTGTTTAGCTATTTCAATTATTTTTGTGTGATTTGTTCAAACAGCTGAAAGTCTATAAATTTTGACAATAACCCTGATTTTCCATGGGGGATAAATAATATTGTTGACAACTGTATATGTATTTATTTATTTTTGTGTAGGCCTGAGGGTTCTGCACAGTATCTTAGCTATTCCAAAAACTGCATTCTTCTGCACAGCCATCTCAGTTGTCCCACCTGCAAAGTACAGTGTGCCGGCAGTAGTATGCGACTCACCACTGGTGGTCTAGGTGGAGGAGGGAGCACAGGTATATTCATTGCACGGAAGCATAACTACAAGCAGGGCCGGACTGGCCCACCAGGATACCAGGAAATTTAGTGCCACTTAGTGCGCACTGGCCTGCGGGTCGCAAGGCGCAATTACAGGGTGACCAGCAGGAGGGGATGCGCTCCCCTCCTGCCGGTCACAGAATGTAGCGTGGCCGGGCAGGCAGACCATGATAGAGGAGCTCCTGTTCCCCTACCCAGTCTGACAGGAAGTGCTCACATAGAGCACATGACTGCTTCCTGTCAGACCGGGTACAGTGAGCAGGAGCTCTTCCACCACGTTCTGCCTGCTCGGCCACACTAAAGCAAGGTACGGGGGTGGAAACTAATGGGACACAGGGAGAGCTGGGGGGGAACTAATGGGACACATGGGGAGGGAAACTCATGGGAAACCTGGAGGCTGGAGGGGGGGAACTAATGGGACACAAGGGAGTTAGGGGGGGAGACTAATGTAAAGAACTATCTGAGCACAGTATAATGTTCGTTTAAGGTGCGTGGAGTGTCCCTTAAACATTTTAGAAAAATGACACTGTTCGATTATATCTCAAATGTGTGAGACATTGCTTACCTAGATTTCAGTAAGGCTTTTGACACTGTTGCACATAGAAGGCTTATCAATAAACTGCAATCTTTAAGTTTGGATTCAAATATTGTTGAATGGGTAAGGCAGTGGCTGAGTGACAGGCAACAGAGGGTTGTAGTTAATGGAATATATTCGAAGCTTGGACTTGTCACCAGTGGGGTACCTCAGGGATCTGTACTTGGACCCATTCTCTTTAATATTTTTATTAGTGATATTGCAGAAGGTCTTGATGGTAAGGTATGTCTTTTTGCTGATGATACTAAGATATGTAACAGGGTTGATGTTCCAGGAGGGATAAGCCAAATGACAAATGATTTAGGTAAACTAGAAAAATGGTCAGAATTGTGGCAACTGACATTTAATGTGGATAAGTGCAAGATAATGCATCTTGGACGTAAAAACCCAAGGGCAGAGTACAGAATATTTGATAGAGTCCTAACCTCAACATATGAGGAAAGGGATTTAGGGGTGATTATTTCTGATGACTTAAAGGTAGGCAGACAATGTAATAGAGCAGCAGGAAATGCTAGCAGAATGCTTGGTTGTATAGGGAGAGGTATTAGCAGTAGAAAGAGGGAAGTGCTCATGCCATTGTACAGAACACTGGTGAGACCTCACTTGGAGTATTGTACACAGTACTGGAGACCGTATCTTCAGAAGGATATTGATACCTTAGAGAGGGTTCAGAGAAGGGCTACTAAACTGGTTCATGGATTGCAGGATAAAACTTACCAGGAAAGGTTAAAGGATCTTAACATGTATAGCTTGGAGGAAAGACGAGACAGGGGGGATATGATAGAAACATTTAAATATATAAAGGGAATCAACACAGTAAAGGAGGAGACTATATTTAAAAGAAGAAAAACTACCACAACAAGAGGACATAGTCTTAAATTAGAGGGACAAAGGTTTCAAAATAATATCAGGAAGTATTACTTTACTGAGAGGGTAGTGGATGCATGGAATAGCATTCCAGCTGAAGTGGTAGAGGTTAACACAGTAAAGGAGTTTAAGCATGCGTGGGATAGGCATAAGGCTATCCTAACTATAAGATAAGACTAGGGACTAATGAAAGTATTTAGAAAATTGGGCAGACTAGATGGGCCGAATGGTTCTTATCTGCCGTCACATTCTATGTTTCTATGTTTCTATGTTTCTATGTGTGTATTTACTAAATATCCAAGCTGTCACTATAGCTGAGCTGGAGAATTTTAACTGTGTCAACACCATTAACACTAATTCAAGTGAAATATATTTTGATGGCAGCCATGATGAACGTCTGGAATCTTTCCTTTCCATGAGGTGGAACTCCATCACTCCTGGGACCAGACAGACTCTTAATGGATTTGTTCATTAGAAAGTCTCTGGGGTAATATTATCTTTGTTTTGTATACTTAAGTGTAAGTAGGCTGGGAATTTGGAGGAGAAAATGACTTTTGACCCTTATAAGGCCACACTGCAGGTGTTCTTTGTGTATAAATGCCTTGGGCAGAGAAATTTCAACACCAATGGATCCATTTTAACTACATGTAGACATGAATGTACTAAGGCTTATTTATTAGTTAGGACTTGTGTATATATAAGTGAAAAGCTAAAATAGCAGAATTGTAAAAAAAAGATATGGAAATTATCCACTGTGGTTACTTACACCTAAAATTTGAATTTCCTTATCAGTTCCACAGTCCAAGCTTAGTGAATGAAGTATACTGTGCAAAAGAAATTCCGATGCTACTTAAGTTGCATACCTCGGACAGAGCTGACTAGACTGCATGAAACTATTTTAGAGAGAGGTATGCATTGATTAAAGGTCAGTGGGAAAAAAAACTACGCAAGGTTCAGTTGTCTCAGAATCCATTGTACTCATCTTTTTGCAGCCTTCCATTTATTCAGAACAATGTGCAAACCCTTCAATACCTTCACCTTGCATTCCAATCATAACTCAACAGAGTGTAATTAGCAATCCTTGCTATGCCAAAGGATTCTGCAATGTGCTGCTCTGTAACAAGGAACCAATCAAAGCTTTATTATAAAAGATTGCTTTTCATTCATACAGATTGATTCAATGCCTCTCTATGAGGAGATGCTGACTCGTGCAGCGTTTTCCTGCGCATGCGCAATAGGCTCCCAGTGCTTATCCTATTGGAAAGTAGTGGATTGGCTGTGATCAGCGGCGTACATACCGCGGTCGCAGGGGTCGCAGCTGCGACCGGGCCCAGCACTCCAGGGGGCCCGGCCGCCCTGCGGACCCCCGCCACCGGATACCAGGCCTGCTGCCACATTTTGTGGCCCCGGCCCGCGTGGCAAACCGCCGGGGCCGCATATGGAGGGGTCCATCGGCTGGCCCATGCTGTCAGGGCCATCCGATGGATATGGATTGTGAGGGGGCCGGTCTGCGCTGGGCGCTTTAACAGCATGACCGGGCCCCCTGCGATGACATCACAGAGCTGGGAGGAAGTGATTCCCTGGTCACTCCTTCCAGCTATCAGCCCGCACAGGAGGATGCAGGAGGAGGAGGAGGGAGTCAGCGTGGGAACTCTGACTCCCATCAGGCTGAGCCACCACTGGACCCCAGGGAAAGTAACAAGGTAGGAAACATTTTGTGTATGTGTGTGTTTCTCTGTATGTATGTGTGTGTGTCTCTGTGTGTCTGTGTATGTGTGTGTCTCTGTGTATGTATTTCTCTGTATGTGTGTGTCTCTGTATGTGTCTCTGTATGTGTGTGTGTCTGTGTCTCTGTATGTATGTGTGTCTGTGTGTATGTATGTGTGTCTGTGTCTCTGTATGTGTGTGTGTGTCTGTATGTGTATGTATGTGTCTCTGTATGTACATGTGTGTCTCTGTATGTACGTGTGTGTTTATGTATGCAGTGGCGTACACACAATCCATGGGGCCCCATATGTATGTGTGTGTGTCTATGTATGTGTGTCTATGTATGTGTGTGTGTCTCTGTGTGTGTCTGTGTCTCTGCATGTGTGTGTGTCTGTGTCTATGTGTGTGTGTGTGCCTGTGTCTCTGTATGTATATATCTGTGTGTATATATATGTGTGTGTCTTTATGTGTGTGTGTGTGTGTGTGTGTATGTTTGTGTGTATGTCTGTATGTATGTATGTGTCAGGGGAGATGGGGGAGCACGGATCGGGGGGGAGAGGGGAGCACGGATCGGGGGAGGGAGGGCCCCACGGATCAGTTTCGCACCTGGGCCCCATGGATTGTGTGTACGCCACTGGCTGTGATCATTAAGTTTGATCATCTCAAACGTGGGCCAGCAGCGGCAAGACCAGCATGGCGATGGAGAAAAGGCGAGCAAAACAAAATTTCTACTCCACAGAGAGGGGGGCCTGGGACCTAGACAGCAAGTCCAAAACTACAGTGCCAGGAATACGTTTGATTACTAGCACTATAGTGTTCCTTTAACTTTTAAGCTCACTTAGTAAATGAACTTTACATATATACATATACATATATATCTGTACACATAAACCATAATATTTGCATATATTCCGTATGAACCAGACTAGTTTTATAATATAATTAGTATGAGCCATGGCTTTGTTACTGACACACAGAAAGTGCTGTGAAGGACACAGAGCGGTGTGTGTGCTGTGTATAGGGTTTCATGGTAGTGGAGCAGCCAGGGGGGAAGCTCAGAGAGGGGAGGGACACAGGAGGAGGCTCCAAACTCTCTCAATCAGCTGCACTCTGCCACTCTCCTGAGTAACATACATCCCTCCAGCACCAGGACCATTGTCACCTATACCTCTTCCAGCCTGGATAACTTTACCACCCCTGCCAACACCAACTGGGGGGAGTAACTGGCAGAGTCCCTCCAGTACCTGGACTGTGAGCAGCTCTACATGCAGTGATTAGCCCCTGCCGGTCCTGGCCGGAGGATGCTCAGGAGAGACCTGAGGCTGCGCTGGAGAGGTTGTGCCCTCCGCCTGGCCGCCCTGTGCCTGGCTGTCCTGCTCTGTACCCACCTGTCTGCAGAGTTTAGGCGCTGGTCGTGGCCCCCGGGCGAGCTGCTAGAGAAGGTGCAGGTTACCAGCCGGGGACCGGGAGGAGGGGAGCAGGGCAGGAGGATAGAAGAGGTGCCCAGCAGGAGGCAAGTGATCTATGTGAGGAGAAGCAGCAGAGCTGGGGAACCCGGAAAGCAGGGGGGCAGCTCTGCAGAGAGCAGGAGAGACCCCAAGAAGGTCAGTAATACTTCCACGAAGCATGGGGCAGGTCTTACTGAGGTGTAAAATGGCCTAGCAATGAAAGACCCCCAAACAGTGTTCTTACTGTGAGCTGCTGTGGCATATTGCTATGATTAATGCATTGAGAGATTTATCTAACTTCTGTGATGTATAAAGTGGCGCAGCGTTCTAAAAGTGTGTCAGTCACCATGGAAACCAAAATAGTCAGCAGACACATTCTACAGACTTCACTTTTACAAGTTTGCCTCACTTTTGAGGTCTCAGCACTTCGATAACTCTCTATTAGTGTGGCAGCCTCCTTACCTGTATAGGAGGTATATGTGAATGTACATATAGTCTGTGATTAGGGGGGTTGGGGGAGAGGGGATTCCTACAAGGGGTCTATGCAGTGGCAATAGCTGTTTGATATTTTACTTAACCTGTGTAAACCTAAATATATGTGAACTAGCCCAACCAGATTGATTTTAAACACATTAAAATCAGGACACTATTCAAATCCAGTTGTGAATACACCTTAACAGGCCAGGGCTTGACAAACTTCTTGCTTGAATATAGGTTAATCAGTCTGTGGCTCAGGCTAAGGATCACTCAATCACATTGACTCACCACTGCCCAAGGTTGGATTTCCTAATAGGTGTGGCTGGCACGTCTGGGAGTGCATCTGTTTGGCTTTGTTGCTCTGCCAGTGATTGTGCCTACAAGATAACACTGGAATACCTTTTGGATTAATTGCTAACTACAAGCATTTTATGGATCCACAGGAAAGTAAAGAATATGTGTGGTCCATGGAATCAGAAATATCATAATGGTGCAATAGTGGAGATACTAACTACCTGGATAAAATATATTATCTTCCTTCACCAAACTAGTACTACAATACATTCCTACTCACTGTGCATTAAAGTGACCACTTGCAAACATTAAAACTGCTATAGGAGTAGCTCCATCACCCCTATAAGGACATACACACCAGGACTGCACACCATTGGCCCTGCATCTGCTTATTCAATACTTCTCTTAATTATGGAAAGTGTTTTTGAAAAGCCAGAGGGCTATGGTTGTACTCTCCTGATCAGTGTTATTCATCCAAAATAACAACTGAGAAGATGCACGGTTTCTAATGGAAAGATATAGTCACTGCAAACTATACAATATCTATTATGGGTACAATTAAATTTCCAGGCTCTGTGTTTCTGTTCCCCCACAGTCAATGATGTCACTTTTATTTCACAACAGCTTATTGTGTCAAAAGACACATATTGCATAAATCTGTGCCTCGCTGTACCCACACTATAATATCATCGCTGGTACCAAAAGAGTTCTTTGAGAACACTGGACATCAATGAAATAATTGCCTTTTACTTACCAGAATCAGAGCAAGCAATTACAGTGCACACGTGTACTAACACATGATGGAGTATCTGGAGAATTAAAAGAATTTGACATTTATTGCATAGCCACGGTTAACACTCAAGCAGCCATCACCACAACAATCCATTTTACGTCATTCGGCTCTTTATCTTAAATGCCCGAAGGAGCCTAAAAAATGGGTAACACACAATCTGATTTGTTTTTTCCCCATCAGCTGCGTTTATTTTCACCGTAATTGTGCTAGGCAGAGTGTGATTTGGCAGTTAAAATCAAATGTACGATTAAACTAGAACACCACTAATTCACGTTATAGTGTCACACAACATTCATTCACCATTAGATGCTAACACATCAGTACTGCACTATTATGTTGCAACATATCACTGAATCACTATTATAGTGTCACAGATCATTCATTCAACGTTATACTGATATATATTACTAATGCACAATTAGACTGTCACACATCACCAATGCACCATTGGACTTCTAAACACCAGTAACAAACCTTTATAGTGCCATTATATTACACTGTTTACATGCTTAGATGTGCGACTTGGCAGAGAAAAGTCTGTCTTATACAATATTTTTTCTTTTCTTTCATTTGTTGTCAATAATGCGCCATTATACAGCCACATGCCACTAATTCATTCCACACATCATTAGCGCCGCATTAGTCTTCTAAGCATCACTAATTATATTGGCAAACCACACTACAATTACAATTGTGCTGGTAGACTGCAGTGCGTCACTTTTGCATTGGATTGTCACTCATCTATTATTAACACAAAAGGTCACCTTACTCCTGGTATGGCATAATAGAAAGACAATATAAATGTGCTCATGACATTTTATTATATCCATGGTTTGTAAAATGGATGTTAATAAGATATTGGCCAACAATATGCATTAGGAATAATTTGTGAAATCCCTTGCTTGTGGCTTATTAGACAGTGCTGGTTGATACAAAACCTTTTCTTTAACTTCTTACTCTGATGTTTATTCAATAAACATTTGGGTTTATTATCTGAATAGCTTTTCTTTGTTGACTTTGACTGATAAAAAGAATCTCCAATTCGGGTAATTTAGAGAGTTCTTCCAACACTACTCTTTTAGTTTCGCAAATCCATTCTCTTGGTGAATAGCCTCCATGAAGTTTTTGGTTTAAAAACAAACTTGACAAAACACTAATTACCCAGTTCTGCTGAATTTTCAACTCAATGCAACTCACTCAGGCTGATTCAGTTTTAGCAGCAACAAAGAGTTTAGTTTAGCAGTATGACGCAGTTCATAGATAATGCGGAGGACAGCAAAGTATTATAATCAGAAATAAATCCGCCTGCCCGTTAAACAAAAAGTTTGAAATTTTTTGATTATTGGATTTTTTGGGGTTAAAATTTTGGCTTTTACAAAACGTATTGCACTTTGTTTTTTTTTTTGTTTTTTGTTTTTTCCAACTGCTAGTGTTTGCTATGGGAATGGCAAACATAATCTTGTTAACATAAGGTCAAAACACAGACATAACAATTGTCAAGGAGAGCAAACACATATAAAATATTTATAAGATTGCTAGAATTCCCATGCAGACTATAATAGACAGCTACAACACCAGCTAGTTATTACGTATAAAATGTGGCAGTGCTGTGAGTGGAAGATAAGCAATGTGCACTGTGCATTCATGGAGTTTTATTTTTAATAAATATGCCGTAGAAGCAGAATTGGCAGTATCGTCTCACCATTTCATCTTTCCTAGGTTGATAAAATGAGTTTGGTAATAATTACATGAATATTCTAACAAGGTTTTTCACTAAAGTGATAATTCAAAGTGAATTTCAAATTTAAGGCCAAAGTCGCTGAACTGGAATCACAGCTGAATTTGAGATTTTTTCCGGTTTTGCAATTTTGACCTTAAAGGAGAACTATAGTGCCAGGAAAACAAACATTAGGTCTCCCCCACGCTCAGGGCCTCTTAAAACTCCTTCAGCAACTAACCTCTCTCCACCCCCTGCCGACATCAGATCCGAATGCGCATGCGCGGCAAGAGCCACGCACGCATTCAAACAACTCATAGGAAAGCATTACATAATGCTTTCCTATGGACATCCAGCATCTTCTCACTGTGATTTACAGTGAGAATCGCGGAAGCGCCTCTATCGGCTGTTACTAGACAGTTACTAGAGGCTGGATTAACCCTCAGTGAAACATAGCAGTTTCTCTGAAACTGTTATGTTTTCAGCTGCAGGGTTAAAACTAGAGGGGCCTGGCACCCAGACTACTTCATTGAGCTGAAGTGTTCTGGGTGCCTATAGTGGTCCTTTTACTTTGATATTTAAAGTTAAATTTCTTCTATAGTGAATAACCATTTTAGATGTATGTTAAAACTAGTAAGAGCTAACTGTTCTCTTAAATAATGTTATATTATTATTGCTTGAAAAATGTAATTGTATCAATAGTATCTGAATAAGTTGCACAATTATTATTGGGTCAATCTCTGTAACATTGGGGATGTCTCTTCACAGGATTTTTTTATATTCTACATGCTCATCCCTGTATTTTTGAAATAAGTGTTGTGAAATGTTTAAGAAATTTACTTTAAAAATCCACTCCAGTTTACAGCTGTAATTAAAATTATTAAACACCCATTTAAAAATCAGGTTTATTTTAAAATTTTACAGACTTTCAGCTGTTTGCAATGAACAAATTAAACAAAAACAACTGAAATAGCTCAACACAATGAATGCTTCAAGTGGTTTTCCCAAATTCAACTGAAATTGCAACTTATAATGACTTCTCCAGTCTTAAAATTATTCAAGAGGGCCAAGCAGCAAACGGATCAGACGTGTAAATGTGGAGCTCCGTAAGGAAACATGAACAAACTACCACGAATAGGGCAAACAGACTCCATTCCAATGGCCTGAACCACGTTTCCACCCCAGAGACAGTTATGGGGTGCAAACAAAAGAAATCCCGCCCACCAGAAATGCGCAAACAAGCCGACATTAGGCTCTCATTCGAGAGGCCTACACCGCCGGCTCCAATCAAGATGGCCCTGGAGGTGTGCACTGAGGAGGAAGCCTCGAAGGACTCTCCAGATGACAGAGCAAGCCTCTCCTCATGACCCACAGGGGCCCAAGACCGGGACTTGGAATCCGACGAAGACTCGTCTCCGGTAACAAAGGTAGACATCACGGACCCCCTGCAAGAAATGAGGGAGGTTTGGAAGGCGCATATCAAGGAAACACGGAGAGAGATGGGGGCCCTCCAGGCAAGAAGAGGTAGATGGTAGAGAGGGAGATAGGGATTGCACCCTTCAAGCCACCCAAGACCAAATGCAAGACCTCTCACAACAGGTCCAAAACCTAAAAAGAACAGTCACAGCGATAGAAGCAAGGCACAGGAAGCGGAATGTCTGCCTGCGGGGCATACCAGAAAGCATCAATGGGGATGACCTGCTGCCATTCGTGCAGAAACTAATAGCCACAATTGGAGTCAAAGGAGACGCTGATCCAAGCGCACTGCTTACAGCATTCCGAATCCGGGAAAGCGGCAGCCGCCCTGGACAACACACCCAGAGACACTATAGTTGTGACCAGGGATGTGGCAGTGCGAACCGCAATACTTTCCCGCTCAAGAGAAATGCATACAATAAGATTTGAGGGCACACAGTGGCCATATACAGGGACATTCCCTTTGCAGCACTAACAATGCGGAGGCAACTGGCACCGATCGCTAAACATCTCCAAGAGGCAACGATCCACTACAGATGGGGAACTGACAGCTCACTACAGGTTCAGAAGAGGGACCAGACCCTAACCCTAACTCCGGCGGATAGCCAAGACGCTTTCCTCCAACAACTGAACCTTACCACCAGAGACGCTACCCATAACAGAAGCAGAGAACAAGAGTTAAACAAGCACACAGAAGCGATCCAACAGAGACAAAGCCGAAACAGAATCCTGCCTGATACCCCCTACGAACTAATGGCCACCACATAGGTTACACCTTACGCCAACACTTAGAAGATAATCACTTTCTCCTCCCACTACCCTTTAGCCATCCCCTCAAGAGGAGACCATATATTCAACACCCCATAAGCTCGCACCTGAAAGGCAACCCAACAGTTATAGTTATAGTATGAAGTTCGCTAGGGAGTTATTAGGTTTTACCACTGTTTAGCACTGTGCATATATCTCCACACTAGCAGCAGATAGCCAACCTTGTGTCAAACCCCAGAAAGATGGTGTCACAGTGAACAATGGACATACTGGTCAACCGAAAGCTATGTCATGCTTAAAGGTATACTTAGAACCAGATGTAATTTTGTTGAGTTGTAAAACTCTAATAAAATACAAATTTAAAAAGAAAAATTATTCAAGAATCTCCCACAACAGCACAAATATGCAATATTCTATTTTTTGTTGCACCAGGTGTACTTGAGCTGGAACACTTGAAATACCTGTACTGGCTAGGGGTTTGTTGAATGTCACGTTTGACTGCATGTAAAAAATATGGCTTAGTCAAAATTATGGTCCACAAAGTTAAGAGAAGTGATCATCGCCCTTCAAAAACAGGGAACAGGACACAAAAAGATAGCAATGGCACTAAATGTCCCTAGAGACACCGTTGGAAGCAAAGTCCGCAAGTTCAAAGTTGAAGGGAACAGTGCAAAAGACCACTGACTGTAAAAGACCTGCAGCAAGACTTAGTGGCAAGAGGCACTAAGGTTTCAGTGAGCACAGTAAGGCGCATACAAAACGCAAAAGGTTTCTATGCTAGAACTCAAAAACATACACCACTATTGACCCTAAAGCACAAGAAAAGTTGTTTCCAGTACGGTCAAAATACTAGTTTTGGGATTCTGTTCTGTGGAGCGATGAAGCAAACTTGAACTTTTCAGCCCAATGGATCAGTAGTATGTCTGGAAGAAAATGAATGAAGCATACACTGAAAAGAACACTCTGCCTACAGTTAAGCATGGTGGTGGCTCGGTGATGCTCTGGGGCACTAGAAATTTGCAGCTTGTGGAAGGCAACATGGATTAATTGGTGCGCGAAGAAATCCTAGGAGAAAACACAATGATCCCAAGCATACCTCAAATTTCCTAAGGCTTGGTTGCAGAAGAAGTCCTGGAAAATTGTACAGTGGCCATCACCTGACTTGAACCCCATAGACAATTTCTGATGGGATTTGAAGAAGACAGTTGCAGCACACAAAGCCAAGAATATTACAGAACTGGAGCCCATTTTTAACATTCCTAAGCAACACTGACTCAATCTGGTGTCTGGCTATGCATCTCATTTGCAGCAGGTCATAACAGCAATGGCTGCACTACTAAGTACTAAAGATGCTTGCCATGAAGGAGTTAAATAATTTTGAGACGGGAGAAGTCATTATAAGTTGCATTTCCAGTTGAATTTGGGGAAACCACTTGGAACCTTTTTTGTGTCGAGCTATTTCAATTGCTTTTGTTTGATTTGTTCATTGCAAACAGCTGAAAATATGTGAATTGTGACAATAATCCTGATTTCAGGTAACTTCATCTTCTCCATCTGTCAATCATTTTTTAGAACTGTCCTTTGCACCTGGCGGTCATCACAGAGAAAACCCACCAAGAAGAGGAGAAACTAAAAAATGTTTCTATTTCTCTTCCTCTAATGGAATGTTTGCAGTGGATGTGACTGATTTCAAGTGGATTTTGTTGTCATTTTGTTAAATCTTTAAAGGAACACTCAAGGCACCATAACAACATAACCAAAATTAAGTAGTTATGATGCCTGAAGGTCCACAGTGCCGGTTATCTTTAGGGATAAAACTGTTAACAAGTGGTTTTCTGTCCGGCACAGTTCAGTTATGCTCCTTGATGTCTGTTGCAGTCTGAATCTTCTAACAGGAAGTCTTAGATAAGAATACTGTAACTTCCAATACACTTATTTTTCTCATTCCATTTAGCAATGGGGAGCTATCAACCAATCAGACTGCAACAGAATTTTGGACACAGAGCTGACTTCCTTTGGACGTAAGATTTGGCGGTTTAACATTCATTTTAAATGAAACCTACTTTTTGTGCTGTTGTTAATTTTATTTTTTGTATTGGGGGGTTGGTGTTATGGGAGGGTAGAAAAAGCTTTACAGCCACTATACAGTGCTTTGCTAACTCCCCAGTGCTCTCAGCCTACCACTACTCGACAGGTTGACCCAATTAATAATGTAGAAGTGTAAGTAGCACATTATGAAGTCTGCTAACAAATAGATTGCCAACTCCTATAAACTCTTTGTAGTGGTTATGTTACTTTTTGTCACATGAACAATTAAATTGATGTATCATCAAGGCAGTAAATTTAGTACTATTACTTTGTTGATTTATTGAGTTACTTTCTGAGTTATTAATGATTCCTTAATCTTTTGGGTAAGACCCACTCCCGATTCAGGACTTGGTGCATTAGTGTTTCCCAGATCACAATCATCTCCCCTATCATGGTGACAGCACATTTCAGTGTGAATAGAATAATGCTTGTTACTCTTTTCCTATGGCCCTCAAAGCACGAGATCCCTGTAGGAGAGTTCTCCTGCTGGAGCCTGTCACTCATCCTTGTTCTATAGAACTGGACTAAATCAATTGTTATAGTAGGCTGCAAATGCTCTAACTTGTAGCTACTCTACAGTCATTTAAGACATGGGGACCCAAAAGGTATATTATTACGTATTTAGAACTACAACTTCATAGTGTACATACACAATAGCGTAAATTAATTTGAGAATGCTTCATGTCACATCTTGTGATAATTTTTCATATGTTGCTGCTACTCTACTTAAATGTATTTTTGTCTAAAGTCAAGTTATTGATAAAGTTACTTTGTTTTTGGAATTGATATGGTAAAATCATCTTACAGAGAGGGTTGTAACATAGTTTGCTTGGTGAGTTTCCTATAAGTTGAACAAAACATATATGCAAAATGCATTTCAATGTCTGGAAAATGCAGCAGGCATAACAAATGTCCAACTCGGTATGAACAGACTCCCTCACTAGTGCAAATAAATATTAAAAAGTATTTACTAGGTAGTGGACCTGCTGTTTATAAGTTATTTTTTTTACAAGGACCCAGATTATGAATATGGAAATAGCTTGGCAAACCATACTTCAGTTGTGAAAGAAATTCAGGGACCCTTTGTTAATTGTAACATAATATATCAGAGGTAGGCAATCTTTTGGTGTGCCAGAGTGATATGTTGAAGTTTAGTGGAGTGTTGGCTTTCTTTTTTCAAATTTCAAATGTTGGTGATTTTTGTAACTGTGTGGTATAGCACATAGTCACAATGATCTCTTGTGGTGTGTGAGGGGAGCAGATCCCTTGCATCATTCCCCCCAGTTTGGCACGTCTCATGTGCTCTGAGACTGAGTTACTCAGAAATGTCAGATCGGGAGGGTACCATTGCACTACAGAGGGGAATTTGGGAGATCCTCTGCTGTCCCCAGTAGACCCATTTAGGTTAAGCTGCTTTGTGAATACCTCTGTAAGGTATTCCAAATAACATCTTTAGAGTTTAGTGCCACTGATGAGATCCGCAAAGGATGATTATGAAAAAAACAACATCCTTTGAAAAATGGTATGCATCTCAAACAGGCCTAAGGGCCTGATACAGTGGCCCTTACAAAAGAACAATGTTTATTTTCCACATTGTGTACAGTGATGTCATTGGTGTTAATAATAATCAGATAAGGCGGGTGAATAACCCACTCTAAACTCCTGTCTCTTTGCTTTGCCAGATTATTGGTTTGATTGTTAAATTCAGAAATATTGGAGAATATGCAATAATGCCCTGGACCTTACCTGGAACAACAGGCATAGGATATTTAATAGAATAGAATATATAATATATATAAGTAATTTATGTGATACTTTATAGCAAAAATGCATGGTGAACTCCCAGGTCTGGTGCATGTAATGTTTTTTGTCCCTAAATTGTAATGAAAAATACATATTTATGGTACCTCATCTGTTGCCCAGCCTCAAAACAGATTAGATTGCATCCACATGTCCCGTTTCATTTTTATTTCTGCTTATGATGATTTGCAAAATAATATCTCTAAAATGTTGAAACCACACAATTTCCTGTCATATTCACTAAGTATATTGATACAAAGGAATTATCAAGGTTATCAAAATAAGTAAATTTTCCCTATGACATAATTAAATTATCTAATGTGTACAATTTGCAGATGTGGGCAACAATTCTAGTATGTTTAATCTGCAGCCAACTTTTGTTTAAAATTAAATTTTCCATTAAAATGTTCTGATAAGCAAACTGCCTGGGGTTTTATATTTGAAGAAATAGTTTGCGGTAGAACTTCATAAGTTTATCTGTGTTCCTTTTGGATTTGATTAGTAAGCAGCAAATGTGTCATGAATCAGACTGCTTGCACGCAGAATATTTTCTTGCAATACTGTAGATACTATTCTCTTTTGTACTCTTTCTGGTCGTTTGGCTAGCACATAAATAGCTTGCAGAAGATACTGCGTCAGTTTTCTCATGACTGGTTATCACAATTTGTGATGGTTAGTTTTTTACTGGTAATAAAATAACATATCATCTGATCTGACTAAGAGATTTTAAAGCAAACCTGTAATGTAATTTTTTACTTACCTCACCGTCGTTCCAGCCCAGCCATGTCTTCATCTTTGTGGGTGTTATTCTTTCACCCTTTCTTCCTCCAGTATCTTCAATGGTTTGCACTGCTCATGGCAGGGTTAGCCAGAACTAGCTAGGAAGCTATCCTAGCAACCACAGTGCATGCGCAGAAGGACTACATGAGAGAGGTCTTTTATACTTACCATTGGCAGTCAATTCTTCTTGACTTGCAAGGAGAAAAAAATATTTTTAAATGTGTGCTTGCACAATATTTTGACAGAATGTTATTCTATTTCAAAAAACATAAATTATAGGAGGCATGCACACCTCTCAACTTCCTGAGTTGGGATGTGTGAGCAGAGTCTTCAGGAGGCATTGCCAGTGATGTGAGCCGCATCACTAGCGATACCCACAATGGGTGGGGGACACGTGCAAAAGAAGTGGGTCGGCCACCTGACAGGTAGCCTGGCCCACTCCTGGCTATCAGGACCATGTCCACTTCACAGCACAAGTGAGTCTAATAATATGCTCACCCACAGACACTTCCACAGATGCCACCAGACACCAGGGAACTAAAGCAGAGTGGCGGGACAGCATCCAATAGAGGGACATTTGGGAGGCATAGGAATGTTAGGTACCATTCAATTCCTCTCTGTCTGGATACCTATAAATCCAATGATTACCTCAATTATTCCCGAAGCTTATTTGTGTGTTGCCATTTATTATTAAGAAACATGGAATAATGTCTCCTTAACCGTATAGTTGCTTTGTTGTATTACCTCAATATCTGCTAGTTCACTAAATAAGTAGCCACTGTTTTAATTAACTTATTTCCATCCTATAGGATAAGCGTGGCAGTGAGAATGCAAATAGACCACATTTCTCTTTTAGAGAATCAGATCAAAATAGTAAATATAGTCGAAAAGCATTTGTAGACTCTGACTGTTCTTAATTCAGGTCTTTGTGACCTTCACGCTCAGTGACCTAGACTTTCTTCTTCAAGTCATTTATTTGGCATATCTTAACAGGGAAACATATCGGCTAGATCAACTTTTGTCCTTTAATACTGGTTTATGTGGCTTAGGTACTTTTTTATGGCATCCATAGTTTTGGTTGGAGTTAGAGGTAAATCCATTGCTAGAAACTCATGAGTGATTTCATTGTTCACATTCGTTTTAGAGAAGGTTTAGATCCGTGGAGCACTGCCAGAGAGCTAAGCCGAGCAAGCTTAAGCAGATGGAAGGCTTGATTCCAGAAACAATGCAACCAAAAAGCAGAATATTGATACAGAGCAGCAACTGCATGGAATAAATCTAAAACATACAATTTAACCTCTTTAAGACTGAGGTTTTCCCTATTTTTGTGTTAATACTCAAAAAATGTTAGGGTTTATTAAAAGATTTATTCCACTGTAATCTCACACTTTCTAATGAAAGGAAGGAACACAATGAGCTATCATAAGCAATACAGGCGTGCCAAAGCGCCTTCTCAGATTGAGTATTCAATTTGGGTGCCCACCGCCTTCCCTAGTGCTGGAGCTCCTACAAGGAGCTTACATTAGCTTCACTGAGCTAAACCTTACAATGAAGGGCCAACTCATTGGCTCAGAGTGGCAGTTTGAGCATGACCCTGCAGTGTTTGATCAAGCATACTATATCTATTCATACTCTGTGTCTGGTATATATAAAAAAAATATAAAATTTAAAAAAAAGGAACATTCTATTAACCACTATAGCTCAGTGATCTCTGCTAAGCATCAGTAAATGCTGTCCACCCATTTTCTTCAGCCCAATGGTCTCAAGTTTGATAAAAATTCATATTAAATATGCAGAAATATCAATTCTGTATTATCAAGGCGACTGAAGAGAGGTTGAATTCTGGGTAGGAAAAGCTCTTTTTTTGTTAAACTGTTCCAAAACTGTTGACAAAAAAAAATCAGGGGCTGTTGCAGTACCCATAGATTCTCGGTCACATAACCACTGCACTGAGCCATAGTGGTTATGTTACTTAGATTGCAATTAATGATTGATACATGGAAGGTTTAACTTGATGATGGGTTTTTTTTTGAGTCCTGATTTTGTGAGTGTCTTTTACATCTAGGAGTGCGATCAATTTCTAGCAACTAAAAGTATGTAAAATTTGCTATGCTGGAACTGTCTGTTTAAAACTGCTACACAAAAGTATATATTTTAAGAAACTAGGCAGCCCAGCATATTATATTAAGGGACAATTTGACATATTATATGTGATAATTTTATTTCAAAATTCTACCAAACTTTCTGGTTGTATTTTCTTTCTATTGTGCTTACAGATAACATTGTATTTTTGCTATGACAATTATACATTTCACTTTGTATCCATATTCCCTGTGTACAGCAATATTTTGACAGGTTAATTACTGTCACTATTGGAGCAGAATAGTCAACTCCTACTGAAAAAAGCAACATCATGGTATATTGCTAGTCAAAAAAGCAGGGCCGGTGCAAGGACTTTTGCCACCCTAGGCAAATAAAAATTTGCCGCCCTCCCCATCACAATGCCCCACCCATATGATCTGCCATATGAGCGAACATCAGTTCTGCACACAGTGTCTTTTCTCTGAAAAGGCAGTGTGTTTACATTAAAAAGCCTGCAGGGACAGGCTACAGACACCTTCTGGTGTAGATGGTTTTGGTGACTCTAGTGGCCCTTTAATGTGAGGTAAATTAGGGATTAATGTCACTAATAATATACTGGTTTGCCTACTTACCACCAGATGAGGACAAGAGGATGATGATGGGCACAGGCTGCAGTCTGGCGCCACTGGTCTGGAGGCAGTTCTCACAAAAACAACGAACAGGAAGCATCTCCATTTTTTTTGGCCCCCTTACACAGATCACGGTCTGGGCCCCCAGTGCCTGACCGTGAGTATTCCTACAAGACCCTGATGCCTACAAGACCCACCCATGTGTTTTCTCACAGGGAGTGGAGTGTATGTGTGTAGGGGATGTGTTATGTGTCATTGTAGAGGATGTAATGTGTGTGTGTCTTCTTATGGAATGTAGTGAATAGGGATACCAGTTTGTGTAAAAAATTTAGTGGGTGTATAGGAGATGCAGTGTGTGTTTGTGTGTAAATAATGCATTATGTGTATCTCTGTGTGTGTGTGTGTAAGGAATGCATTGTGGGAATCTGTGTTTGTATGTATAAGGGATGCAAGGTGTGTTTCTGTGTATGTAACGTAATGCAGTGTGTGTGTGTGTGTAAAAGATGCATTAAGAGAAGCTGTGTGTGTGTGTAAGGGATGCATTGTGTGCTTCTCTGTATGTGTGCAAGGGCTGCATTGTGTGTGTGTGTGTTTGTGAGGTATGCATTGTGTGTGTGTAAGGGATGCATTGTGTGTGTAATGAATGCATTGTGTGTTTCTGTGTGTGTAAGGGAAGAATGGTGTGTTTCTGTGTGAGTGTAGGATGCATTGTATATTTCAGTGTGTGTGTGAGTAGGGATGCATTCTGTGCATGAGTGTTTCTGTGTCTGTGTAAGGATGTGTGTAGTGTGTATTGTGTATGTGTGTAGTGTGAAAGAGAGGGTTTGTGGGGTAGGATAGGGGCTGAGAGGGTAGCAGCTCTATTTTTATTATTATATTTATTTTGTTAATGTAATTTTTTTGTATATTTTTTCTTTACGTTTTGTGTCTTACACTCCCCTTTAGTGTATATCTTACAAACCCATAGTGTGTCTCTTATCCCCCCTCTTTGTATGTCTCCTACATCCTCCCAACCCCTTTATGTGACTTACTCCCCCAAGCCCCTTTGTGTCTTACTTTTCCCAGCTCCTTGGTGTGTCTCTTTTCCCCCAGGCCCCTCTGTGTGTCTCCCTGAAAAGCGACTCTGTGTGTCTCTCTCCTGAGCACCTTAGTGGTCTCTCCGTCTCTCCTCCTCTCCCTCCCCTCCAGTGTCCCTTAGTGATCTCTCTTCCTCTCCCTCCCCCCAGGGTCCCTTAGTGGTCTCTCCTCCTCTTCCTCCCCCTAGTGTCCCTCAGTGCTCTTTCCAACCCCCTCCTCAGTGTCCCTTAGTGGTCTCTCTTCCCCCTCAGTGTTCCTGGGTGGTCTCTCCTCCTCTCCCTCCCCCCCGTGTCCTTTAGTGGTCTCTCCTACTCTTTTGGACTGAATTGCTAGGCCTGTGTCTCATTTTGGTGGACCATCAGGCCGCCAAACATGTTTTAAGTACTGGCTGTCAAAAGTTAGTGGGATAAAATAAGAGACTGGGGAAGGAGAAGTAATGGGAAGGAAAAGGTTCCTTTAAAAGTTTAAAAGTTTAAAAGTTAATATCTTTGCAGCCACACAGTCCTATATGATGTGCCACTTGATTTTGTCTCTCATTAGCTCAGAGCAAAGGATGGATTTTTTTCATTTAGGAAGAAGCTGCCAGTGTGACATATGTAAAAAAGTAGCAGAGCCATGCTGAAGCTGACATTCTGAGTCAATAAGCTGGCCCTTCATGGCAAATTAATTAATGACAAATATCTCAGCCAATCTAATGCTTCATGTTTGGTAAGTCTTGGTGGTGTACGCACTAGGCCTATCAAAAGTTAGCATCTGCTCATAGATGTCCATCATACTTAAAGGACCACTCTAGGCACCCAGACCACTTCAGCATAATGAAGTGGTCTGGGTGCCAGGTCCAGCTAGGGTTAACCCATTTTTTCATAAACATAGCAGTTTCAGAGAAACTGCTATGTTTATGAATGGGTTAAGCCTTCCCCCTAATCCTCTAGTGGCTGTCTCATTGACAGCCACTAGAGGCGCTTGCGTGCTTCTCACTGTGATTTTCACAGGAGAGCACGCAAGCGTCCATAGGAAAGCATTATGAATGCTTTCCTATGTGACCAGCTGAATGCGTGCGCAGCTCTTGCCGCGCGTGCGCATTCAGCCTAGGAGGAGGAACGGAGGAGGATCGGAGGAGGAGAGCTCTCCGCCCAGCGCTGGAAAAAGTTAAGTTTAACCCCTTCTCCCCTTTCCAGAGCCGGGCGGGAGGGGGACCCTGAGGGTGAGGGCACCCTCAGGGCACTATAGTGCCAGGAAAATGAGTATGTTTTCCTGGCACTATAGTGGTCCTTTAAGATTGAAGGATCACAACAGGAAGTACCTCTAGTGACTGGCAGAGTTAAGTTTTTTGCAGAACAGGCATACACTTCTGAAACTTAATGGGCAGTCTCTAAGGCCTAGAACCACTACATTAGGCTAGAGCAGTGGTTACCAAACCAGTCCTGTAGGCACACCTACCAGTCCAGGAATTTGGAATTACCCAGTTGTCAAGGTGTTTTTTTTTCTTTCTAAAAGCACATTGGACACAACTGGATAATAATCCCTAAGTCCTGTACTGGTAGGTGTGCCTTGAGGACTGGTTTGGAAACCACTGGGCTAGAATGTCCTTTTAACATGCATGTGCACTTACACGATAGTTAACAAAATGACATTATTTACATGAATCCAGAGCTTCTGTTCCTTATTCCCACACACTCAATTCTCTGTTGGCCGTACTAGTTCAAGTTAGGAGTGTGGTACTCCAGTATTAGTAGACTACCAGATCAAGAGCTATGAAGATCATAACCACAGGGATACAAGCCAGGGTTAAAATTAAAATGGCAAACAAAATGCCACTTTGCTAGGAATTCCCAGTCATATAAGAGTTCCATTGGAAGAATGGTATGCGTTTAATTCGTGTCATCATCTTGAATTGTTACTGTGTCTTGAAAAGACAAGAGTCCAACTGATGCTTCCCAGCAGAAACTTATAAAGACTTTATGTATTAGAAGTAAATGTGGATTGAGAGAGAAAACATGTCCACAACAACTGTTTGAGATATACTGAAATTTAAAAACTTTTTGAAGTTGAACGTAGAATTGGTTCTCCCCAACTACTTCCTCTTTGATGCTAAATTTTACTTGCCAGGGGTCAAGTTGGATCTCCAAACACAAAAGAGTGTCTGGATCATTGTCACAGTGTGACTATAAATATACTGTCAGTTACAAGATCTGCTCGGAAAAGTTCTCAAGTAACGTGCATTTATTTAAATGTCTATTTAAGTCTGCAGTTCCTGAATATTCATTGACAGGAATCCTCCATAATTACAGCTCAAATTACAAACAGCTTTAATGAACAAATAAAGAAAGGGTTGGCTGGTGAAAGCCAATAAAACCCCCTCAAGGGACTGGCGAAGATACTAATGCAACAGGGTAATGTCTGCCAAAAGCAAACTTGATTAGCTGCTGGAAAGAATATGTGCCCAACTTGGCACAGTTACGCCGTCACCCAGCTGGGCATCACAGTGCAGGGGAGATTTAATAAACAGGAGAACAAGAATGAAATTCCCATAAATCTTAATAATTCATATGTTTTATGTGTTTTACACAGATTAATTGAATATAATAGTGTATACATATCCCTTCAAACATGTTATTTAATATTTTCCATGGCATTTATTGTGACAATAAAACATTGTGGGTTTTTTTGTTGGTCACTGAAGATTATTATTACGAACAGGCACAATTATTCTGAATTGGCACAATTAAAATAACATATCCTGCTTTAAAAAAACAACAATGTGCAATGTTAATTATTGCCAACCAGGCACAGATCTATGAGCAAATTGCCAATATAATGTTTCTATGTAAATGTACCAATCTAACCCTGCATAATATATTTAGCATTTTTGTAGTCTATGTTTAATCACTCACAGTAACCACTTAGAACCAAGACTGATAAAATTGATAAAACTCTATATTCTGGATTTCCAGACTCTGTACTGGATATTTGCATTAATATAAATTTTAAGAGCAAGAGCATGGACTGATATTTGGATGGTGGAAGGCCATGCAATGCCTTTGCAAAAAATAATTGTTTGTTTATGAGTGATCCCCAAAAACTAAACAGAACCTTGAATTAGGACATTATACACAACACAAATTCTTAGATAAACATAGAAAGAAACAATGTATGTGAACACCCACCACAGTGTAATAAGTGCTTAATTTATATCAACAGAAAGGAACTTTCCTGTATAGGATAAGTTTTCCAGTAGTATCCCAAAAGACTTCCTCTTGTCTTCCACACAGCACAAGCAAAAAAGGGGGATGATCTGCTGAACCAATCATAAATAAAACAACATAGCGTATAACTGTGTATGATGACAAATTGTAGAAGTTATATTCACAAATGGCCACTCACACTTTTGCTGAAGTTTGCAAGCCTTGAATATTTTCCTTTTCAAAATAGGAATTCCAAATCCTCTGTCTGGGTTAAAATCTCCATAGATATATTGGCATGTATGTGCTCAGGAAAGAAATGTATATAAAAGAATATAAGATGCACATTCAGAGTGAAGTACAAAAAAGTATTTAATAACTTACATCAAAATATAAAATCATCAGTGTAGTCCCTTTATGTCACCACCAGGGGTCCGTATTCTGAATTGGCACAATTAAAATAACATATCCTGTCTTAAAAAAACAACAATGTGCAATGTTAATTATTGCCAACCAGGCACAGATCTATGAGCAAATTGCCAATATAATGTTTCTCTGTAAATGTACCAATCTAACCCTGCATAATATATTTAGCATTTTTGTAGTCTATGTTTAATCACTCACAGTAACCACTTAGAACCACAACTGATAAAATTGATAAAACTCTATATTCTGGATTTCCAGGCTCTGTACTGGATATTTGCATTAATATAAATTTTAAGAGCAAGAGCATGGACTGATATTTGGATGGTGGAAGGCCATGCAATGCCTTTGCAAAAAATAATTGTTTGTTTATGAGTGATCCCCAAAAACTAAACAGAACCTTGAATTAGGACATTATACACAACACAAATTCTTAGATAAACATATCCTGTTGTAGCCACTTAAGTGCTTAGTAGTGTGTGTATGTGTGGGGGGAGTACATTGCAGAAAAAACATCCAGCCACATTACTTGCTGGAGTGCTTTATCCATCAAGTGTGTCCTCTCTAATTTTAATTTTACAAAAAAGTGCAGATTTAAAAAGAAAATGTCACTTTTATAAACTAAACTTGTTACACCCCCTTGCCTTTTAGTCAGACAACTGGTCTTGTTACTTCCTGGTTTATTTAGCTCAGTGGTGCTAAGGCCAAGTGGCAAGCAATTGCCCTGTACACCTGCCTTCCAAAGACTTCTCATGGGGGTACTGTCAGAGTATTTATATCGGCAGACATCTTGTGCTATGATAGAAATTAAAAGTGTATATTCTGAGTCACTATGAACAGACCATACTCCATTTTGTTATTTTCAAGTTAACAAAGAGACACAAAATTTCTATCCTTTCTGTAAAACTAACCACTTTGCCCGAGCTAAAGGAATGCATAGTATATACAAACCAAGTGATAAGGAGAATGGGGGTTGGACAGACTGTCTAAAATGTTAATGGAATAGATGCATTCTAAACCCAGACATTTGTGACAGAGGAGATTAAATAATAAAATTTTACTTTCTATATGTACAAGACCCCATTGTAAGTTTAAGGTGAAACATAGTTCATGAACTGCCATTTTGGAAATTATAGCAGGAATTGCGGACACTAAGTCTGGACAAAACTTAAAGAAACTGTTTGAAGTGACATCAAATCTAAGTTATAGCAAACATAAAGATAACCCAAATGACGTCAAAATAGCCACCAGGAAAAGTTAACTCTTTCCTGGATAGGTATGTTTAGTGGGACAAGACTGCCCTCTATAGACCAAATACCTAAATTGCGATCCCTAGGTAAGCACACCTCTAGTGCTTCTATTGGGTTATCAACTGATGACGTACAGAGAGTCTGGCCCTTTAAAAATGATTCAAAGGAGAAAGAAGAGGTAGACGAGGAATGCAAGGGTATGCAAAGAAAGCAAAGAAGTGAGCAGTCGGAAGCAATGCAGAGAGGCCTATGACAGATATCCACTCTAGGACACTCAGAAATTCCTACACACCTCCATGCAGAGAGACATCCAAATAAGTTCCTGAGACTACCTACCAATCTGAGGAAATATCTACTCAACTGGTAATTATACTGGTTTCATTTAATTAATTAAATTAATTAAAATGTACTAATAGCGTGATATATGACTGGATAAATCACGGTCAGATTTCCATATTTAAGAAATCTTAGTTAACTAAAGAATATATAGTTATAAACATTCCATTCTGCAGGTGGAATTAAGAATAATTATATATTGATGTGATATTATCACGTGTTAGCATACCGCTGTTTTTATCCAGGTGTATTGATTTGCTCTAATATAAGATAAGATATCTTTTAGACAAATTAAAATCTGCTTATATAATCATGGTAGATTCTCTTATTGGATGGTTCCAGGAAATGACTAATGAACTGGTTTAAATGTTATTTTATTTAAAATTACATAAGAATAGATCTTAATTACCTAGGAGATCTAGCCAGCATTGAAAGAGTTATTCTAATTGTTAGCCAGGGTTTTATGGCCCTTCACTGTGAAAAGCTTCATTTTCTCTCTGTGTAAGGATACCTCATAAATCGTGTAAGCCTTGACAGAAAATGCTGTTTAGCCATTGAAATGTGTATACCCATTCCATTGTATTGCATATCATTTTATACTGGATATTCATTGATTATTGTCACGCATGTTACATAATATTATTTGTTAATTATTGGTTATTATAAATAAATCTATTTTTATAATATTGTGATTTTATTATATGAAATACTTTTCACTTACGATAACGATCTTTGGGTCTGAGAATTGAATTAGTGGACAATTCTCACTGTTTACTATTATTATCCCATAAATATCCCCACAGTACATTGTCAAGTCTGTGATTGCACAGACACAGAAAAAGTGGGCTGTGGAAGAAGAGTTGGGGGGCTTCAAAGGCTGCAAACAAGAGATCTGCAGCTTTTGCAAGCTTTGTTTTTTTTTCACAATTTTCGGTGAAAAAGTGCATGTTATTTATGCAGAGTTCATTTGACTTGGATTAAGAACTGCTCAAGTCTTCATCAGACTTAATCTGATTTGGTGCAGGTTTAACCATGGGTTTACTTACCACCATGGGTTTACTTACCTCCTGCCAATCACATGTTGTCCCGATTCGGTCCTGTGAATCCTTCTCTCATCCTTCTCTTCTGGACACTGAATGCCATCCTTCTACATTTTCTTATGGCAGGATACTTGTGTCTCGACATCATTTAAATAAATAACGTGTATCCACATCATTCTCGGGGGCATGGCCATGGCAAGCCACTTAAATAGACACCAACACCAGTGTTTCTTGCCTTATTGTGGATCCTTGACCCCTTTAGTGTCTTTATATAGTTCTTTACTGTGATTTTGACCTGGCTAATTGACCATTCTGATCTCTGTTAACCTTGACTTGGCTTAGTTTCTAATTGACCTGTTTTCTGAAATCCCTTGACAATGGCTAGTTATTCTATTAGTCTGTCTTTCATGAAACTTGGCCACCTCTTAGAACCGGTTCATACACTGCGTGTTTGGGTTACGATTACCATTACACCGGGTTAAAAATACCTCTAGTGGCTGTCTTTCTAGTGGCCAGTAGAGGTGCTTCCCTGTGAGATCCAAGTCAAAAACGGTTCTCAATCAAATGCTGCTCCTAGAGGATCCCAGGAAGCATTGGATTGGCTGAGATCCTCAATCTTGATGATCTCAATCAGGGAGGTGCAGCGACTGTGGCAAGACCAATGTGGTAAGGGAAGATAAGTATATAAAACTTATCTTTCAAACGATCACAGGGGTGGGGAGGACAACATTAAATTGATAGAGGAACACAATAGCATTGAGAATACATGTTAGTATGCCTAATGCTATAGTGTTTAATGTAAATATTACATGACTAAACAGCCTCATGCTACATAACTAATCCCTATTCCATGCTTAATAATCTCAAGGAACAATAGAAAACTATCTGTTGATGGATTTTTTTTTATCCAAAAGCATTTTATTAAAAGAAATCGAATTTGAATAAAAATAAAATAAACAACAATCCTTATTATTATTTTTTTAAAATCAGTGATTTTTTTTTATACACAAATTATAACAGAGAAACAATCTGTCAGAAAACCAGAATCTGATATTATGTAAATCCCACTATTCCCAGTATCTGTTTTACATCCATGTCCCCTGGGTTCAAATGCACCTATCTTTGTGTTATCATTACGTTATAAATGGCGACATGCCCATTCCTGAAAATGCATTCCATAAACCTCAACTATTTGAAAATTAACCAAGTGGAAAATGAGCTTGATGCCTATAGATAACTTGGCATCTTGAAACAGCTGTACACAATGTATTTCAATAATCTGCTACAAGGGGAGTGTTGTGGTAAATACGTTACACACAGGAATATCTTGATATGGCTATTTATATAAGCAATATTCGTTTTTGTTGTCCTCTTGTTGCCCATTTCCGTTGAAGGGTAATTTAGAAAGAGAAAAGTTCAAAGACTGTGAGTAGAGTCACTAGAGTCAGATAACATCATAATACTAGCTGATGGTCATTTGATGAAAGTGAAGTGTGGTGTAAATATTACTTGGAAAAATCTTATGGTATATAGAAATACTGATTTGTGCAGCATTGGGTCATACAAAGTGAGTGAGGTTAATGTGAGGCTAATGTTTTGCCTAATTATAGTGTGTAAGTCTATTCTAATTTAAAGGGACACTATAATCATCTAGAGACCACTTTATCTCAATGAAGTGGACTGGGTGCAGTTGTCCTGTCCTCTTAAACCTGCAACAAAAAGTATTGCATTTTTCTAGAAACTGCAATGCCTTCATTGCCGGGTTAAGTCCACCTCTATTGGTTGTCATACTGACAGCCACTAGAGCTCCTTCCACTGCACTGATCAAGTGAAACTTGGTCACTTGATGTGAAAGCCCCCGTAGGAAAGTATTGATCCAGTGCTTTCCTGTGGGTAAACTTGGATGTATCTGCGGTGCTTACCAATGCTCGCGGGAGTTAGAGAGCTGAGCAGCGACAAGGGAATTTCAGCGCTGGAAAAAGGTAAGTAAACCTTTTATTTTATTTTTTTAAGTTTCATGGAGAAAAGTAGCTATGTAGATCTATTGACAGGGACACTATAGCGTTAGGAATGGAGGTTGAGAGAATTTATTGCAGTGATAACCATTGATTTACCATGAGTTAATATAGGAACTCTAATTGTGTCAATTTCCAGGGAGTGACTTATTCTTGGAGTCCCATGATGTATTAGCATTTGCTAAATTGTAATATTGTTTGCGTTGTGTTTTTTGTTTTTTTGCTCTGCATCTTTCTCCTGCAGCCACATGTCATAATACAACAGGTGTCACATATTGTGAGTCAAGTGAATTGTTTTCATCTTAGAATATTAACTTCTAGGGACCTCACAATCCACTCACAGGAACCCAGTGGCTTCAGCTGTGAATAGTTACTTGTGTTTCTAATACGGATCATAACCTCTTGTCAGAAATGCTGGTGGAAGCAAGCTAGGAAAGATAAAGCATTCGTGTGACCCAACTAGTTTTTGTGTGAAGCTAGCAGGCTGTCTGTATCTGATAGGGACTGTCATATCCGGACATACAGAGAAAGCTATTATCCTGTGCTATATTCTTCCATATTGATTAGATGTGTTGATTAATTGTATATGATACGTTTGTTTACCTCTTTTTTTATTGGTGGTCTTTCTTTCAGTATGTTTTCCAGTCTAGATTTGTTCTCCTAGTCTGTTTGAGCTGTTAGCCAGTGGTTCTGGTGACTATAGTGTCCCTTTAATGTGAGGTAAATTAGGGATTAGTGCCAATAATAATATACTGGATTGCCTACTTACCACCAGATGAGGACAAGAGGATGATGATGGGTTCAGGCTGCAGTCTGGCTTCACTGGTCTGGTGTTAAAACAGGCTCTCCTGAGGCAGTGCTCACAAATATCAACGAACAAGAACCAGCATCATGTTTTGGGGTCCTTACAGGGCCTGACTGTGAGTATGCCTACAAGGCCCGCCCACAAGCCTTATGCCTTCAAGGCCCACCCATGAATTCGCTCACAGGGAGTGGAGTGTATGTGTGTAGGGGATGTGTTATGTGTTATTGTAGAGGATGTAATGCGTGTGTGTGTTCTTATGGGGTTAAGGGTCACACACACACACACCGAAACATACAATGCATCCTACACTCACACAGAAACACACCATGCTTCCCTTACACACACAGAAACACACAATGCATCCATTACACACACAATGCTTTCCTTACACATACACAATGCATACCTCACACACACACAATGCAGACCTTGCACACATACACAGAAGCACACAATGTATACCTCTTTTTTATTTGTGGTCTTTCTTTCAGTATGTTTTCCAGTCTAGATTTGTTCTCCAAGTCTGTTTGAGCTGTTAGCCTGTGTTCTACATTTAACTAGTTGTGTAAGGGATGTTGTATGTGTGTAGGGGATGCATTGTGTGTTTCTGTGTGGGTGTGTGTAAGCGATGCATTGTGTGAATCTGTTTGTATGTGTAAGGGATGCAAGGTGTGTGTTTCTGTGTATGTATGTATGTAATGTAATGCAGTGTGTGTGTAAGGGGTGCAATGAGTGTGTGTAAGAGATGCATTGTGTTTCTCTGTGTGTGTAAGAGAAGCAGTGTGTGTGTGTGTGTGTGTGTGTGTATAAAGGATGCATTGTGTGTTTTTGTATGTAAGGGATGCATTGTGTGCTTCTGTGTATGTGTGCAAGGTCTGCATTGTGTGTGTGTGAGGTATGCATTGTGTATGTGTAAGGAAAGCATTGTGTGTGTGTAATGGATGCATTGTGTGTTTCTGTGTGAGTGTAGGATGCATTGTATGTTTCGGTGTGTGTGTGTGTGTGTGTGTGTGTGTGACCCTTAATGATCTCTTTCACTCCCTCTGTTTCTTAGTTGTCTCATCTCCTCTTCTCCTCCTGTCCCTTAGAGGTCTCACCTCCTGTACCTTGGAACTCTCCCCTCCCCTTCTATCCCTTAGTGTTCTTCCCTTCCCTCCTGTCGCTTAGTGCTCTCTTATCCCCTCCTATCCCTTAGTGCTCTCCCATCCCTTAGTGATCTCCCCTCCCCACCTGTCCCTTAGTGAACTCCCCCTGCCCCGTCCCATAGTGTTCTCCCCTGCCCCCCTTTCCCTTAGTGCTGTCCCATGCCCCCATGTCCCTTAATGCTCTCCCCTCCCCTCTCCTCCTGCCCTTTAGTGCACTCCCCTGCCCCCTATCCCTTATGCTTTCTCCTTGACCCTTAGTGCTCTCCCCTGCCTCCCCTTCCCATAATGCTCTCCCCTGCCACCCCTGTCCCTTAGTGCTCCTCCCCCCATCTTTCCCTTAGTGGTCATTCCTCTTTCCTCCAGCCCCCCCCCCAGTGTCCCTTAGTGCCGTCTCCCCTCCCTAGTGTGCCTCCTACCTCTTTGTAGCGTGTCCAGGAAACAGATGCCAGCCACGCTACACTGAGTGACTGTCAGGAGGGAGTGCTGTGCGCTTCCCTCCTGCCAGGTCACTCAAATCTTGCATCCCCCCGAGCCGGTGCGCCCTAGGCGACTGCCTAAGTCGCCTATAGGATGCGCCGGCCCTGTCCTTGAAAGATCCTACAAGATCACGGACATCAGTAATAGTTCTAAATCTTCTTGTGCAGGTTTATAGAGATCCCATATGAATTTATGGCACATTATCCATCAATCAGTACTTGAAGGAAGGATAAAAGGAAGGCTAAACACTCAATTATAATGCTCTTGCCTTATATTTTTTACCCTCTAACAGGGTAATTTATATATATGCAGAAGAAGTAAATAAGTAAATAAGATGTTATTTACTTCTTCTGCTTATATATAAATTACCCTGTTAGAGCTTTGTATGTAGGATAGCATTTATTCGTTCTATCATTGCACATTATTAATATATAATTGCTCAATTTAAATATTTTAGCAATCTCTGCTCAGACTATCTGTCTTTTTGCAAACTAGGATACCGTATTTATACTAATACTACTTAGCCAGGGTTTACTGAGAATAGTATTTACCCTGGTAATACTACTGTGTTAAACTCCTATAAGGATTCCTAATATTGCATCCTCATTTCACGTTTTATATAATACCACAATAGGGGCATCTATTTGGAACACACTTCTGCTAGCAGACCCAGTAGGTATATATCTAAGCAATTTGGGATTAACTGTAGTTTTTTTGTCTCCGTTGTGATTTTGTGATTATTATTATACAACTTTTTGTATTATACCATGTAGGAGAATTTGAAGTGGATTGAAACTCTTTTCTATCTAAGGAAGCATTTTATATATATATTTATATGTGGTGCTTTCCTACCTCCCATACTTCCCCTTCTATTACCAAATTAGAGTAACTATTTATCACTCCCTATGAGAATCTATATAGGACCAATCTAAGTATTCACTCCTCGTTACAATCCAACCGGAGTGTAGAATTGATGGATAATTTATCCATTTATGGATATAGCAGCTAGAGGTGACAATTACTAGACGTTATATATCATGGATACACAGGATTTCTGTAATTCACATATTGCAACATTGTAATCAATATAGCTACTTTACTTGTCATCCAGATTATGAGCATTTCTAACTCTCTATTTGATATATCTAACGTTAATTAGCTATCCTATTTTAAGGATCTATGTATCACATTTTTTCACTTTAATCACTTAGAGTTCACTGATTATATGTCCATTATCCCAATTGGGAGTTAATAAAATATTTGTCATTATTTTGTATATATTTCTGTGTTTTTCTTCTTCTTATTGTTTGGCTCCTTTGAGTTCTCTCTGTTAAATATCTACTGATGTGTGAGTAATTCTATTAGTATCGTGTCCTCTTCTTTGAGGCCTAATCCAATTTAGTTTACAATGAAATGTTGTTTACGAAATGCAAAATCTCAGGAAAGGTTCCAATTTTATTTTTTAATGGGTAAGTAACTCCAATTTGTGTGTTGGGAGTACTTAGATTATTGAATTTAATGATCAAGCATGAAATTGTCAGATGTATAATACAATTTTATTTTAACGATAAACCTTATCATTTTGGGAATAATATAGATTTATCGATAATGCATGTCGTCAGCAAATAATGACTTTGACAGCAGCAGCCAAATCTGAACTATTTGTGAGTCATCTGTGCTGCAGATGGAAAAACTGAGACATTCTTTTATTTTCTAGACTCCCTATTCCCTTGAGAAAGAAATAGTAACACTGTTCTTTAAATATCATTTTTTGTTTGCTATCTAGTAGCACTACCTCTGTTTGCATATATCAGAACAATGGGATAGTCAGCAACTCACCCATACATCTTTATCTGAACATGTGATATGATCTACCCTGAACGTTTCCACCAGTTTACATTTAGTCCAAATTGAAGTTGTTGAACAAAGAACATATTGCCATGTCTTACTGTTTCCACCTAGGAGTTTATGCTGACCTGACCTATTAATGGGTCTTAATGTAATTTATTATGTCAGATTGAGAATGATTTGATTGATCATTGACCATATATTGATATCACTAAAGTCTGTATTTGTTATGAAGCCAATTTCTGTCATCTGTTATTATTGGTGATTGGACAATGCTTTGCATTGATTCAGGGAAGAAACTACTTAACTTTTTTGCCAGTTCACAGCACAGCTTCCGTCTATGTTCTGCTGTAGTTTTTTGCTGAAGTTAGAATTTCCTGTGTGATGTCAGCAGTAGAGAGGGGCACAGTTTCACAAGATGCGTTTGAAAAGTAAGTTTTCAGGGACAGCTTTGAAACAATAAACACTACAAAAAGCTGTAGGGATTATAGCTTTTGGGGTGATTCTTTATGTTCGTCTGCCCTATCAACTTGTCTTTTTGGTATTTTGTGCTAAGCGCAGCATGTATGTTCACTGTGAATTGTATGCTAGATTGAAAATACATACGCAGGGATTGCTATTCTTTTCAGTTTTGAATTGTGCTGTCTGTAATCTCATAATTGCACATAATCATTTTTCTTTGTTACTAAATAGAATAAAGCAGTCATGCCTGTATGTGTTTCAGGTAGGGGTGCTTTCTTATCTGGTTCTGTAAAATCCATTTTAGGAACAGGAATAGGCATTCTCCTTAATTACAGGATAGGACATAGGTAGAAAAATGAACTGAATAGTGGCTTAGAGGCAGGAATGCAGGCTTGGGATGCATAAGGCCTCAGGTTCAAATGCCCTGTTGGGCATTTGTGTGGTGGTTTGGGCGACCATGCATGGTTGTCTGGATGTCACGGCAAGACATGTTTCTGCGTGTGGTGGCCATAGGGCCAATAATCATGGCGTAAGGATGTGGGAATACTGAAACTGTGTAATATACTATTTCAGTGGGATTAACACTAGGGGTAAAACCCAACACAAATTATAAGAAAAATAGCAAAATAACATGAAAAACATAAATGTCCACGGTTCAGGTGTTCTTGTTCTGAGCTGCACCGCTAGAGGCCTCCATGACTGTGTCCATCTCTGCGACCTTGTAGTTGATGCCCTGATGCTGTATGAGGAGTATGTGCGATGGTCCCCAGCAGTATTTCACCCCTTTAGCTGTTAGTGCTGATGTCAGCGGTCGGAGGGACTTTTGCCACTGTAGCGTATTGTGAGAAAGGTCAGAAAAGATCGTTATGTTCATATCTTAACATCGGTAGGGGTTTGTCCCCTAAATGACACTTATGAAGGCTACGAAGGCCCGTTTTGAAATTTGACCAAAAGGTCACCTGTAGTGCCTGTAAGCAGTGGTGGTTTGGGCAGGCAGAACATGCCATCAAGCTGTATCCCCTTCTCTTGCCTAGGTTGTAAGAGGGCAGTAAATAACCTGGAAGTTATTTAGGAAGTGGGGCAGTTCGGCTGGGGTGACTGTGTCAGAGATGCCACGACTGTTTACGTGCTTCCACCTTCGCTTGTCTTCCATGGCTGCAAGTTGGTGGCTGAGTGTAGTGTGAGCTGAGGTGAGATCCTTGACCTGCATCTGGAGCTCTGTCACCTGTGCTTCATGTGATTGAGTGGTCTGCTCCACTGCTGTAAGGCAAGCTGTGAACCCCTTGACATCTTCCCTCACCTGAGATATCTCCGTGGAGATCTGTCAGGAGAGTGGTGAGGATCTCCATTGTGACCGGTTGCCCCGCTGTCGGCTGTATGGGGCTAGGCAGCCCCTTATATGCCAGAGTCTCAGGGCTGTGGACGGGGATGTCTCCTGAGCTGTCCGAGTATTCATCCATTTCGGCCGCCATGTTAGGCCCAGACGCGCCATGCGGTCTCCACAGCAGGTCGGCTATATCAGCTCAGTACCCGGAGCAATCTGGACGCGACTTTTTATTCTTCCTCCCCATCTGTGCAGGGATGTCTGCAGGCTGTCTGCTGTGCGGTAAGGTGCCTTGTAGGGCTATATTTGAAGCAGTATTAGGCTTCGATCGTTGGAATGCCGCTGGCATGTGAATGACCTCGCCGATGAGCTGGCTGCGCCCCTGCACCTATCTCTTTTAGCCATAAGCTCTTAACTCAGAGCTAAGCTAAGCAGTACAGAGCTTAGCTCATTGTCTGAGTGTGATCAGCTGATGTTGTTGTTACGCTACCTCCAGTAATAAAATGCCCAAACCGCCGTTTAGTGAATGCTCCCCGTTCGCAATAATGTGGTCTGGTAGCGTGTATAGTAAAACCATGCAAACCGCCAGCTAGGGAACACTCCAAACTCCCGAACGGTACCTGTACGGCTCTTTCCCTTCACAAGCTCCAAATACACGAACTGCCAAGATTAACCGAACGCCAATATCTTCCAAGCGGCAAATAATTCCAATAAGCAGTCTCTAGGCGCCGGTAATAAAATCCCCCCAATAACGAGACCAAGCTCCGCTTTGAGGGTAAAACACGAACTGATTTACTGTGGGCTACCTGCCCGGTATTTATGCAGGTCTCCCACTTGGTGGACACTCCCCTAGGGGACCAAATGGGAGACTGAAATGACAGAAGGACATGGGGACATTTTGGACATACATCACCACAATATTCCCAGCATGCATCACAGTTCCCTCCCCTCTGCTCGGGAGATAATTGGGAAGTAATTCAATTATCTCCCAGAGCAGAGGCAAATCGCCATTTTAAGTACAAGTCATAAAACACATAAAAATCCATAACTTTATAACTGCCGAACATATTGCATTCGTGTAACACATCCCCAGATAGCCTGGATCTGAGTGCATATTATTGGCGAATAGCGCTCAGATCCCATTCGCATAGTTCAATCGCCATGGAGTCAAAGTCTATTACAGTTCTTCGGTATGCGATTGACTCCATGGGAAGGCTATCTGGGTTAAGTCCATTCGTGTTGTTGAATCTCCCGAACGGCCGGCATTCGTATGCTTTTGTCGATTGAGAAGGGGAGGTCGACGGCTTCAGCGGTGTTCGGTTGAAAAAGTGTCCGCTTTCAGTTCCATGAAATAACCGTCGAACACCGCTGGTCTTTCGCATGGTTAAAATGGCCGCCGCCTCGTGGTCGACATACGAACGACGACCACCCGGTATTCGGTTTTAATTGAGAAGTGTCTGTGGTTAACCGCAACGTTCTAATTGGGATCAATAGGTTAACCAGCAGCACACTTCTCTTCTGGGTGGCCGTCCGTTCGGTAGTTCCGTTCGACAAAAAACGACTTTCCCTTAAACAAAGCATACGAATGGGGGAATTCATGCAAACGGCAAAACAGACGAACACAGTACTTTTAGTCCAGACAGATGGGTCTGTCACAGTTGTCAGTCAGTGTCTTGCCCTAGAGGGCTTAGCTCAGGAGAGCTAATAGAAGCCCTTAGCATGAGCTTTTGGCTCTCGTGACTGCTCAGAGGAGGTAGTGGTTTTGACTGACCTCAGATAAGAGGTCACACTGTTCTAAAACAGTTTGACTACTGAAAACGTGTGGGTGCCAGGGCACTCTGGGAGCCATAACTACTACAGTGCACTGTGATGGGTATGGTGTTTGGCGTGTTTGTTTAAGCATTATTATATCCTCATTTCCTTTTTTTCCTTCCATTTTAAAATATTGTTCTCAACCCAAAGCAGTAGTGTAGGTTAGAGATGGAAAACATATTAAGCATATGTAACATTGTTTCCACACTTCTCTACATGATGTGAATGCCAGCACCAACATCAAAGCTGTCGGGGAAAGCTGTGAAACTAAGATTCTGCTGTGTCTCTGGTGCTTAGTAAGGGAGCAAGAGAACTGAGCATGTTATAGTCAGGGCCGGACTGGCCCACCGGGATACCGGGAAATTTCCCGGTGGGCCGTCGGCACCTAGTGCCGGGCAGACAGCTGGCTGACCTGCGGCCGCAGAGGGAGCTCTTCTGGCAGCCGCAGGGGGAGCTCAGTCTGATGGCGGCCGCAGGGGGGAGCTGGCTGTTCTGGCGGCCGCTGGGGGAGTTGGCTGTTCTGGCTCTGCTCCCCCGCCCTTGTGCGCTACTTAATAAGAACAGGGCCGGAATATGACGTCATATTCCGGCCCCGGTCTCATTAAGCTGCGCGCTGGGGAGCAGAGCCAGAACAACCAGCTCCCCCAGCGGCCGCCAGAAGAGCCAGCTCCCCCCTGCGGCACCAATCAGACTGAGCTTCCCCTGCGGCCGCCACCACACAGGCAGCAATTGTGTGTGTCTGTCTGTGTCATGGTGTGTGTCTGTCTGTCATGTAATGTGTGTCTGTCTGTGTCACGGTGTGTCTGTGTCATGGTCTGTCTGTGTCACGGTGTGTGTGTGTCTGTCATGGTGTGTGTGTATGTCTGTCATGGTATGTATGTGTCTGTCTGTGTCATGTAATGTGTGTCTGTGTCATGGTGTGTGTGTGTCTGTCTGTGTCATGTAATGTGTGTCTGTCTGTGTCACGGTGTGTGTGTGTCTGTGTCAAGGTCTGTCTGTGTCACGGTGTGTGTGTGTGTGTGTCTGTCATGGTGTGTGTGTCTGTCTGTCATGCGATGTGTGTCTATGTCACGGTGTGTGTGTGTCTGTGTCACGGTCTGTCTGTGTCACGGTGTGTGTGAGTGTGTCTGTCATGGTGTGTGTGTGTCTGTGTGTCATGGTGTGTGTGTGTCTGTCTGTGTCATGTAATGTGTGTCTGTCTGTGTCATGTAATGTGTGTGTGTCTGTGCCACGGTCTGTCTGTGTCACTGTGTGTTTGTGTCTGTCATGGTGTGTGTATGTCTGTCATGGTGTGTGTGTGTCTGTGTGTCATGGTGTGTGTGTGTCTGTCTGCCATGTAATGGGTGTCTGTGTCATGGTGTGTGTGTGTCTGTCTGTGTCGCGGTCTGTCTGTGTCATGGGTGTGTGTGTGTCAAGGTGTGTGTCTGTCATGGTATGTGTGTGTGTGTGTCTGTGTTTCTGTCTGTGTCACGGTGTGTGTGTGTGTGTTTCGGTCTGTGTCACGGTGTGTGTGTGCCTATGTCACGGTCTGTCTGTGTCATGGTGTGTGTCTGTCATGGTATGTGTGTGTGTGTATGTATGTGTGTCTGTGTTTTTAAAAATAGTGTTTTTAATCACCTTTTTTTCCCCCCACGTCGTGCTGGTCTCCCCTCGACTGGCCCTATGCTTGATGATCTCAGCCAATCCGCACTGACACAGGAAGCACCTCTAGTGACCGTCTGAGTGTCTGTCACTAGGAAGCAATGTAAACACTGCCTTTTCTCTGAAAAGTCAGAGTTTGCATTGAAAAGCCTGCAGGGACAGGCTATAGACACCAGAACCACTACATTAAGCTGTGTGTGTGCGCGCCTGCCAGTGAGTAGGCTTGCTTGCATGTGTGTGTGTGTGTGTGTGTGTGCCTGCTACTGAGTGAGCTTGTGTTTTTATGTCAATGACCTTATGTATATCAGTGAGATTGTTTGTCTATGAGGCTGTGTATCAATGAGCTTGTGTCAGTGAGATTGTCTGTGTCTGCATGTGAGTATGCTCACTGTATAATTAAACATTTTACTCTGAAAGGGCCAATATTTTATATTAGAAAAAGATATATATATATATATATATATATATATATATATATATATATATAACTCAATCATCTGGGGTGGCAAGACATAGCCTTACATATTACATGCAACAATATATGGCGCAATGACTTATGGGGCTGGCATAGATTTTTTTTTCCAGGGCTGCTTTGTATTTTGTATCCCCAGTCCGACCCTGGTTATATTGATCTGCTTGGCCAAGGGAGCATGGCAGACTTGGCATCCCTGGCTTTATAATCTCATCAAGCAGAGAAAAGTATTCACTGAGCAAATCAAATTGAAATTACAAGCACTTAGAGATGCATTTATTGAACAAACAAAACTGGGAAGAAGAAGGTAGAGTTTGCCTTAAAGCAATCATAACTCACAAAATAAAGTCTAGAAAGGTTTATAATCTTTTGGCAGCAGCATATTTAAACACTTTGTTGTAAACACTGTTCTGCTGGTTGCACTTCATTTATGCAGTCTTTGCTGTGTGTATATCTCAATCGGGATAATGTTCGTTTGTTGGTTTTAGTCATTTATCATGAGAGCATAATATACAGAAGGTTCAATGGCAGTCCAGCCCAAATTGGAATTACAGCAGCAATAATATGCAAGTAGCAAAAATATGCAGAAAGCAATCATATGCAAGGATAAAAGAGGGGATAATGGGCAACCCTGACAGGTCCCATCAATACTGTTAAAGAATGTAGATATGATCTCAAAGTTGGAAACTTTTGTGGAAGGTTTTGAATATAAAGCCTGGATGCCATTTAGGAACTTGGAAGTGAAGGCAAATTTGTGTAATGTGAATGCCTCCATGGCATAATGAGTGGGGGCATTGATGAGTAGTGCCAGCTGAGGTGGTCAAACACCTTTTCAGTGTCTAGTGCAAGCACTATTCCCGGTACCTTTGCCTTTATGGGCCTCTAACATCTCCTGTGGGATGTGGCCTAATTGGAAATTACGGTGAGATGGAGGTGTAAGGATGGAGGTGCATTTAATGTAATATTGTGAAGAAAATCTATCAGGGCCTGTGGCTTTATGATGAGGTAGAGTGAGAATAGTTTTTCGAACCTCTTCTTCGGTATATAAAGCCTCCAACGCTTCCCATTGAACGTCATGAAGAGAAGGAAGGGTCACTGCATCCAAGAAAGAAGCTATTTCTGACTTGGTCATTTTTTAACAGTTGTGTCAGCACTTCATGTTTTTTTTTATTTGCCCTTTTTTGGGGCTTGGGGATTGAGGGCGCCTAGTCAGTGGGGAAGACACACTTTAGGATAATTGGGGGGTTGTGGACTATGCCATGTCCATTTCTGTCTTTCTGCATAAATTTAGAGCCCCCACTTGCCACCCATGGGCAGGTTCCCTCCTGTTTATTTTAATTATAGCCACCATCTCCTGGTCATGGGTGAAAGCATGGGGTCAATTATGCTTCCCAACATTATGATTTAATTGGAGCGCTATCGTGTGGGACACTATGTCCTCCCTGCTACATCATTTTATTTTAAGTCCCAATGTTCTTTAAATTAAAGCATGGGGTTGTGGGTAGGTACATTACTAGCCAATAGCTGACCAGTCACTGGTCTTTTATTACAGATGTGGCCACTGTTTGCTCATGGCATGATGAGTGGGGTCATGGGGAGGTATGAAACTTCCCTTGTACTAATATAATGAACATTTGCTCGGAAGATCCAAAATTCTAAACCCTGCACAAGTAGCTGTGCTGGAAAATTACTAAGATGGTGACTTTTTGAGATTTGCGAATTGATGGCCTAAATTTTGGTATATCGTTATCAATCCATGGTTTAATGAATACAGCCCAAAGAAGTATTTTCCTTAAATGTCAAGCCTATTTTAAATTAATTGAAAACTCCTAGCAGCTTTGGGCTAGTTAGACACAGACAATAATAAGCGTGTTTGTACCAGGTGTGTCTGTTACTTAATGCATTGACTCATTGGTGAGAAAGCAGCAATTAGTGCTGTCCACACCCTTAATGTTACATTTTCTAAATTTTCTCCTTCCCTTAGGGGATGTTTAATTGCATATACTTTTTAAATAGAAAGCCTTGACATTTTTTGTTTTTCAGATCTACATTAAATTTCATACAGAAACTCACACTGTTCACACTGTGTGTATAGGTATAGATAAATTGACAAATATATAAACGATTCTGAATAACTGTTCAATATCTTCTCTGAAATCTAAGTATTCTAGGAGAAAAGCACTGGCATGTATGAATTTAATATTTAGGAAACACACTGTATTTTATTATTATATACATGAAATCCTTTTGTTTTTCTACGTGGCAGTTTCAAATGAAGTCATGAGCATGTTTTGCCTGCAATAACAGCTGAAATACATTAGTGGAACCTGCTCTACTTATTGTGTTCCCATGAAAAACGATTTAATTGATTCACTGATTGCCATAGAATATCTAACATCAGACTTTCATTGAAAACATATTACACTACTAAAACCCCATAGTCATTTATAATAGATAGTTTTAGTAAATAGAACTAACTGCATTCCATTTTACCTGTTGGCATTTCTTCTATAAATGTTATATAGTAATAATAGTCTTGTAATAATAATCTTTTTATTTCATTTTCTCCTCTGCCTGTGAGTCATAAAGTTTTTATACTTGACTACAACATTTCTGATGTGTTAATCCTGAAGCCAAATGTATATATTTATAGTTCTAAAAGGGAGCCCATCCCAAAACATATTTGGTTCTGTCATTTTTTTTTGTATCACTCTCCTTTAGTATTAAAAATGAAAGTTAAAGAATCATAGTTACCTTGTTTCCAGCACCAGGACTCTTCCCATTAGGCAACCTGCTGTTCTTCTTTCGTGAACTAATCTAATTCACTGCTTCTTATATAATGCCGTGCTTCACAAATCAAATGCTGCTTGATTGAATTCACAAATGGAGCCTCATGTAATTTTAGTGGTTCTCAACTGGTAGCAACTAGCGCATCATATTTGTCAGGCCCTTAGGAAACATTTTAAATTGAAGAATGGGTTGCTAAGCTATAGCTATATACACAGGATTGGTCCCTGAAAAAATGTTAAAGGGTTACTCTAAAGGGTTACGGTGCTAATATTAATCTTTTGTAACTATATACTAAGGCACCTACTGCTCCTCTCCATGGTTTTTGTTTTGTTTCTTTCTTTACCATAAGATAAGCCAAAGCCATCTTTTGAATCCAACACCTGGCTAAGCTGTCTGTGAGGCGATGCGCATCTATTTTTTCTTTCACAGTCCTAGGTCCAATCAAATGTGGGGAGGGCCGCACAGAGGGAGGCAGGGCTTTATATTACAGGTGAGCTCACAGTGCTACCTGCGAGTGAAGAAACTGATCTGTCGCTGACAACGGACTACGGACTTTTACTAAATTATGTGTGTCTAGGGCGCAAGTAGACTCCAGCACAAAATGACAGATTTCTGAAACACTGCACATACAGATTGTTTGCACCATGACCACTTCTAAAAGCAGATGTGGTCGTGGTGGTTGGAGAAACCCTTTATGAACTAGTGATATTGATGAAAATGGATTTTCATCACATTTTGTTTTTTTGTTTTTTACCTTGATAGTGTGTTGAACCACTTATAACCAATAAAGCAGGGCTTGGCAAATTTATTTGGAATTTAGGAGCCAGCTTAAAAAGTTAGGAGATAGTAGTTGTTTTTAAATGGACTCTATAGTCACCAGAATCACTACAGATTAATGTTGTTTTTCTGGTGCCTATAGCCTATCCCTGTAGCCTTTTCGATGTAAATGCTGCATTTTTAGAGAAAAGGCAGTGTTTACATTGCTGCCTACTAAAACCTCTAGTAACAGTCACTCAGATGACCTCTGTATGAATGCCCTGAATGTTACCCATAGAGAACATGCACAATATCCTTCCATTGGCTTAGCTGAGATCATAAAGATTGATGATCTCAACTATGGAGGTGGGACAAGCCGCTGGTGAAACCGGCACAGCGTTGGAAAAAAGGTAAGTAAAAACACCTCTCCTGTGATCGGAGGGGACAGGTACCTAAACAGACACACTAAATCTGACAGGCACACACAAACACACGCACAGACTGACAGAGACATACACGCACAGACTGACAGAGAAATACACTAACACTGAAAGAGGCAAACATACACTGACACACACTAACAAAAACATACACACACACACTGACAGAGACATATACACACACACTGACAGAGACATACATGCACACACAGACAGAGACATAAATACACACACACACTCTGACATACACACACACTGTCAGAGACACACATTGACAGAGACATACACACACTGACATACACAGACATACACACATTTTCTTATACACTCACAATTTTTAATCCACCCAGCCTCCCTACCTTTGGGAGAGCTGAGTGGATCTTTCCCTGGGGACCAGTGGCGATCCTAAAATATATAATAATAATAATAATTGCAACATAATACATAACAAGCAGCCAGGATTGGAACGAAAATGGAAAAATCTGTTGATGGCTCATAAAATCTGTCTTTTTTAGAACAATAAGATACAATTCTATATCACTAGAAAGATGCAATGCAATGTAAAAAAAAGCAATACACTGAAAAACAGCGGTACAGTATATTTAATAACTTATCACGATTTCTGTTAGCACTGAGTCAAGAAACCTTTTGCCGAAATTACAGCCTTACAATGGCAGCACTTGGAATGAATTAAGTGTTTTAACTCATCAGGTGTTATGTTAAGCCATTGAGTGTATGATTACTTCTATCATTGGTCTTATATTCCTTGGTTGCTTCTAACTAACACAATTCTTTCATCAGCTCCATAGATTTTCTATTGGATTCAAGTCAGGGCTATTACTTGGCAATTCTAACAGTGTAACATGATTTACCTGAAACTATTTCTTGCACACAATAGTAACATGACAATTAGCTAAACCCTGTCGGAATACATAGGCTTCATTATCCAGGAAAATGAATACTTCACTTTTGGCTAAAGTAGCCTTTTGCTGTCATTCAACCCCATACAACACTAACTGAATGCTTATGGTAGCTTTAAAGCCCTCAGGCAGCAAACCTTTTCCAAATCTTCTTCTTATGTACTTTATTTCACCACACTACCACTTATTGATATTCTGGTCTTTTCACTCCAGATGTCCCATTTTTCCTCAGTCTAATTAACATGGTTTTTAGCCCACTCTGATTTTTTCCTTCTTTGTTAGGGAGATATAAATGTCCTTTTCCTTGGGATTCTAGAATTTAAGTCAAAGTATTTGAGTGTGCATCTAAAAGTCTTAGCACTCATCTTCAAACCACATTGAGACAATGTATTTTCAATTGACTCAGGTGGTTTTCTTCTGTCATTAAACACAGTGTTTTAATGATTGTATCACTACATGTTGTTATACACCTTTTACTGTCTTTACCACTTTGATTTTCAGTCTGCAGGTACTTTTTGCACTTTTTACAAATACCTCCTTTGTATATATTTCCACCTACTTTTCTTACGAAAGTGTAACTTTCTTCACGCACTGTTTAATTATTTCACATTGCTTTTTACGTGATGAGTATTTTCACGCTGTCATCCTACTACGTTACAAAGCTTTACTAGGGCCTCGATTTTAATATTTTTGGGATAAGCTTTTCAAATGTTTTACTATTTTAGGATAAACTTTTAAAATGACTTCATTTAAAAAAATAATTCTATTTTGATTTTTCTTATATATTATTTTGTATATATAAATTATTGTTGATATTTTAATATTTTGAACAAATCATTTTTTTAAAATTTCAAAAAATTAAGTCATTTAAAAAGTTTAAAAAAAACTATGTTATCAAGGATTATTTATGATAAACAAGTCAATAACAGCAAAACACCAATGGCCAACTTGATGATATTCACTGAATGAGTCCTCGTATTAGCCCTGATACATGGAAATGAGTGCTGATTCATACTTTGTGTTTGGTTCTATGCTGCTTCACAATAACACCAATTGGCTCTCAGAACAATCCGTCTGACTCTACTCCAAATCCCAGAGTTTGGTTAAAGTACAAGAGTATAAAACGTGTGAACTATTGTTATGTCACTTTGTATGCCGCATGTAGCTGAATTAATGTTAATACCCATACGTGGGAGAATAAACTCAATCTCTCCAAAACAGAACTCATCTTTCTTCCCTTAAACATTGCTACTCTTGTGTTTGTCTTACTCCAAGTCAGTGGCACTACCATCCGCTCCACCTCACAGGCCCGCTGCCTCAGTGTTCTCTTTGATTCCAACCTCTTATTCACCACTCATGTCCAGTCGATTGCCAAATCTTGCCACTTCCATTTCAAAAACATAGCTTGCATCAACCCATACCTAACATAGGATTCTGATATCTTCTTCAGCCTTTTACTACTGCAGTCCGCTTCTTTTCTGGCCTTACACACTCCTAATTTTCCCCGCTACAGTCTATAATAAATTGCGGCAGTGATGCTCATCTTCCTGTCCACCCACACATATCCCCTTTGTCAGTCCTTACATTGACTTCAGATAGAATATAGGTCTCAGTTTAAAATTCTGCCCGTTGCTTATAATTCTCTACTCAACCCTGTTCCTACCTATACTCAATAATACAATAATGACCCATCCAGTTGCCTACTTATTGCTGAAGACCTGTGTCTATCCACTGTTGTAGTTGCATCTCTGACATTTACCTTCAAGACTTCATATTTTATAAGGAGACTGTTAGCTACACTGATCATTAACATTGTCACATTCACTAGAAGACAGAGTCAAATTGAAGAGAAGGTCCTTTGCACTGCTTTGCATCACCCGTATAAATCACTCTAATGCCTATTTGGCCTGAGCTTTAAAGGGACACTAAAGTAACCAAAACAACTTTAGCTTAATGACACATTTTTGTGTATAGATCATGCGTCTGAAGTTTCACTGCTCAATTGTCTGCCATTAAGGAGTTAAATCACTTTTGTTTTTGTTTATGTAGCCTTAGTCACACCTCCACTGACTGTAACTCACACAGGTTGCATTGAAAGAAAAAATGGTTTAATTTTTAATCAGATGTAACTTACTTTAAACGTTTTTACCTCCTCCTCTGTAAATTTAGCTTTAATTACATACAGGGGGCTCCTGCAGGGTCTAGCAAGCTATTAACAGAGCAGGAGATTCTAAATTAAATAGAATTTTCAATAAAGAAGGAATAAACATTAGATTACTCTTTACAGGAAGTGTTTAGGAAGGCTTTGTAAGTTACATGCAGGGAGGTGTGACTAGGGCTGCATAAACAAAGTGATTTAACTTCTAAATGACAGAGAATTGAGCGGTGAGACTCCAGGGGCATGATCTATACACCAAAACAGCTTAATTAAGCTAAAATTGTTTTGGTGACAATAGTGTCACTTTAATATGTCACTAGTTGCCCTGCTTTTTAAAGATTGCTCTCTAAACCTAATTTTTTCCCCAAAATATTAAAGATTATTATACTCTCAGGTTTATTTTTACACACAGTGCTGAAGTGTCAAGAATTGACCAGGGAATTTCAAGTTTTAAGCCTAAATATTCAAACAGGAAAAAAGTTGTATAATTCTTTCAATATTTGCCCTAACATTTGCATTTCCCTGGTTAATTACTGATAATTCCTGGTTTAGTTATTAACTCTAACAATGTGTCTCAAACTAGACTTTAAGGCTTTTTTTTATTTGTAATGTCTAACCATACCACTTGGCCTCTGTGAAACTGAATAATATCATCGATGGCACTGCAGGTTGTCAGCGATTAGAACAAGGAATGCATTCTGGGAAATCAGTCATGAGTCAGATTAGCACAATGAGGCTCTGTCACATTCTAGGAGATAAGTATCCAAATGATGTCAGAGTACAAATAGAAGTCATCATTAAAATGACTGCATCGCACTATAAAAATGTCAAGGGAGTATAAAAATGGTAATGACTCATTTTCGTGGAAAGGTGAGTAAAATATTTGACAGCCCAGTCTGTTCATTTCATAACAAAGTTAAAGCAGGTAAAAGAGCTACTGCACACCAAAATGTTGTATATGCAAAACCTTAAACCATATCCGCTTTATCCACTAAGGCTATTTCACAAAATAGTGAGGTTGTAATGAATTGTTGCAAATTGTAAACAGTATTAAATATCCAATTCAAAATAGTTGGAGATTTTGTTCCAACATTTGTATTTTGGCCTAAAGTTCCTTAAAATGTGAAAAAATTTTTGTTTGTTACATATTGTATTTTCTAGATCTTCAGTTCATGTAAAACGGCACTGTCAGCAATATGACAACTGCATTGGTTGTATTTCTTATACACCCTGGAACCATCCATCTGTTTAATTCCTTAAAGTGATTTTTTAAGGACCAAAACACATACCTCCCAAATGTCGCTATTCAGGAGGAACAATACCTTTTTTTGGGCTCAAATCCTTCTGTCCTTCTTTCCCATCCTAATGTCTCTTTTTTTCTAGAAGCTCCATAGCAATAGTACACCCAGTAATGTGTCTTTACACTACAATAAATGTGTTTAGAAATCAGTCTGTGTAAATAAAATACTTGTTCCTAAGTAAATTTTAGTTTCATAAAATTATTAGTAAGTAAATCAAAATTTCTCAGACCAGGCCCACCCCTGAGCACACCCCACTCACACCCCTAAAATTAAAGCATCCCCTTTGTCCATTGCAAATGTTCAGAGGCATGAAAACAGATTTCGTTTAATTAATTGAGTTTGGTGTATAGATTATGCTCTTGCAGTTTAAATGCTCAATTGTCTGCCATTTAGAAATTAACCTTTAAATAGCAGAGATTTGAACAGTGACACTGCAGGGTTATGATCTATAAACCAAAACTTAATTTTTAAGCTAAAGTTATTTTGGTGCTTAGAGTATCTATTAATGGACCATATTCATAACCTATTAATAACCACAATCTGGTCCCTGTTGACCCAGTGCTAGAACTGAATATCCAGCGTATTTTGCTTCTTTTTTTTCTTAACTCTAACAGCCCTCCATCCATTAAATGAGCTCTAAACATCCCTGCATGCATTAAATGAGCTCCATACAGCCCTCCATCCATTAAATGAACTCTAAACATCCCTGCATCCATTAAATGAGCTCCATACAGCCTTGCATCCATTAAATGAACTCTAAACATCCCTGCATCCATTAAATGAGCTCCATACAGCCCTCCATCCATTAAATGAACTCTAAACATCCCTGCATCCATTAAATGAGCTCTATACAGCCTTGCATCCATTAAATGAACTCTAAACATCCCTGCATCCATTAAATGAGCTCTATACAGCCTTGCATCCATTAAATGAACTCTAAACATCCCTGCATCCATTAAATGAGCTCTATACAGCCTTGCATCCATTAAATGAACTCTAAACATCCCTGCACCCATTAAATGAGCTCTATACAGCCTTGCATCCATTAAATGAGCTCTGTACAGCCTTGCATCCATTAAATGAACTCTAAACATCCCTGCATCCATTAAATGAGCTCTATACAGCCTTGCATCCATTAAATGAACTCTAAACATCCCTGCACCCATTAAATGAGCTCTATACAGCCTTGCATCCATTAAATGAACTCTAAACGTCCCTCCATCCATTAAATGAGCTCTATACAGCCCTCCATCCATTAAATTAACTCTAAACATCCCTGCACCCATTAAATTAGCTCTATACAGCCCTCCAGCCATTAAATCAGGTTTCCCCAAACTCCGGCCCTCCAGATGTTGCTGAACTACAACTCCCATGATTCTCAGCCTATGTATTTAATTCATAGAATCATGGCAGTTGTAGTTCAGCAACATCTGGAGGGCCGGAGTTTGGGGAAGCTTGCATTAAATGAACTCTAAACACCCCTGTATCCATTAAATGAGCTCTATACAGCCCTCCAGCCATTAATTGGGTGTGACATTGAATTCTGATAGAGGATCTTTAACCCCTTAAGGACCAAACTTCTGGAATAAAAGGGAATCATGACATGTCACACATGTCATGTGTCCTTAAGGGGTTAAAGGCTGTTTTGTTATGATGGATTATTACATGACTGTGACTGGTCCATAAGGAGTTTACATCAAATTCTTTAAGAACGTTTTTGACGTCAACAAAAATTTCTGTTTTATAGCACAGCTTTTTATGACCGTTCATACTTTAGGAAATAAATGAACCAGTATCTAGTTGTGCAGTTTGTGTTGAAGTTAAAAGAGCTGATCGGGTTTCCATACTGGTCCGAGAGGAAGAGCACTATTCCCCTGTGTTTAAAACGCTTAACAATCTAATGGTATTTCCTGTATTATGAGGAGCTGGAGGTCCTGCTGGAGGACTTAGAACCACAGACAAACTAAAGGGAAGATTAGATAGGCACAATAAATTATCAAATAACTTTATGATGAATATAATTTATTTATGTTGTGTTTCTTTTCATTTAGTGCAGACATTGCATGTCTTCTATAAAAAGTCTCAGATTCACCAGTGATGCAACTGAACATATAGCTTATAAACTGTAGTATCAAAATCCATCGTGAATGGGATAGAATTTTCAGAATGACATACCTCCCAAAATTTCATACGATGATCTTTAGTTCTTTATAGTTTTTACAATATAAAAGCTGAACAAAATTCAAGGACTGACTCATATTCCTATGCAATGTCACATTACTGCAATTTTACACTGAATTAATTCATAATGATTATGGCCTTGAGTGCTTTCAACACAAACTACATGTGATTAAAAAAAAAAACACTGCACAACATTAAATAAATTAGATAATAACAGAGGCACGGCAAGCACAATTCTTCAATAAGGACAATTATCAAAAAGATTTGCATTATATTGCATAACCAGAAATAATTATAGGATATGCCAAACACATTTTGTATATAAGGAATAACATATTACTTATGGTTTATGTGTAACATTCAAATTTTCAAATAAATTCAAAGTTTCATTGTTACCAACAAGAGCATGATAATAAACATGAAATCTATTTGAAAAAGTAATGTTTTTACCGCCTTAAAGGGACACTATAGTCACCAAATGAACTTTAGGTTAATGAAGCTGTTTTGGTGTATAGCTCATGCTCCTGTAGTCTCCCTGCTTAATTATCTACCATTTAGGAGTTAAATCAATTTGTTTATGCAACCCTAGTTACACCTCCCTACATGTGACTCGTGCAGCCTTTCTATACACTTCCTGCAAAGAGTCATCTAATGTTTACACTTCCTTTATTGCAAATTCTGTTTAATTTAGAATTCCTGTTAATAGCTTGCTAGACCTTGCAGGAGTCCCATGTGTAATTAAAGGTTCAATTTACAGCATGAAATAAAAACTGTTAAAGTAAGTTACATCTGATTGAAAATGAAACAATTTTGTCAGGGGAGGTGTGGCTAGGACTGCATAAACAGAAAGAAAAGTGTTTAACTCCTAAATGGCAGTTCCTAAATGGCACAGAATTAAGTCAGACAGAGGCATGATTTATACACAAAAAATGCTTCATACATTCCATACCATTCTACCAGGGTTATCTTTGTTCTTTGTTTTTGTATTTACTTAACCCCTTAAGGACCAAACTTCTGGAATAAAAGGGAATCATGAAATGTCACACATGTCATGTGTCCTTAAGGGGTTAAACCCATCTTGATTCACCATTCAGACAATTGTTATCAACAAATTCTTGTTTTCTATGTATTTGATGCATACAGATAATTGTTACTTCTCAATATTCTATGTATACAAAACAGTGATATCTGTACCATGACTTTATGCAAATATTTTTTTTTTTAAATGCTTCATTAAGCTAAAGTTGTTTTAGTGACTACACCCTTTACGTATTGAGGATTTAACAAATATTTGTTTTTCATTAAACCATCCTTTAAAATGTCATGCACTGCAGATCTTTGAGATTATGAAGAATTGCATATGTTAGAGCTTGTGGTTTATTTACATGCCGAGAATTGGAGCTATCTGCGGTAAAATTGTTTTATTTTAATGTGGGTGCATTTTAGACAGACATCATTTGATTCATGCGGACCATAGACACCAGTCTACATTGATTAATGAGAAAATATCCCAGTAAACATTATTTTTTGCATAGATAGAAAACAAAGCTAAGATGTGTGTGCACAACAAAGCAAATGACTGCTTCTTCACAAATATAGTTTACCTTGCTCATCCCACCTATGGTTTTAGTGTTGGCATATGAAGGAAAATCACAATTTTTCAGACAGATGCTCCATATTCTTTTAAATTTAAGATTTAGCAAATTACATTACAATCCAGTTCAGTCAGATACAGTCAGGACACACATTGCAAATGAAGAGGAGAAAAAAAAGCTTTGTTTAATTTATTTTCTCTGTGTGCGTTCTCTGTGCTGACTGCCAGATGTAAAGTACACTGGGAAATAAGATGGAGGTTCTAAACTGCAGGACAAGTACGTGTGGATTTCTAAATGTAATATTATTTTCCACACCTCCCAGCATTTCAAATGGACAAGGAGGGATGCTATACTTTTACGGGTGTAACTGGGGAGAGGCCAGTTTTTGGATGGGACAAATACATTTTAGTTGCCTTCGTAATAACAATTATTGCAACTAATGTGCAATTTAGAACAAAAACAAAGTGTCCTATTTATACAGACTGATTCCTAAACATATTTGTCAAGGAGAACCTCGTCCTTCTACACGACACAGAACACTTTTCTTCCCACCGTGGTGCTATACTCTTGACACAGCAGATGCAGCCTAGAGAGCAGCTTTGATGTAGGCCTGTTGATGCTGCCAGAACGACTAAAGCAAAGCTGAAGGAAGACCAGGGGACCAGAGATGACTGTCTGAAACTCCTCATCGGATCGGAAGTTAGCCCAGGCCTGGCAGCTGGGTGATGGAGATGGCTGACAAGATAAGCTGTCTGAAGACACCATGTTTTTAGGGATATCTGCTTTGGGTAGGGAGTTTAGGGTTCAGATCTCCCTGTCTGAAGAAAGATCAGTGGCGGGTTGACTCTTATCCGCCCAGACAGAGTGGTGTTGGGGAGGGAACTTTACTTTGTAGTGCTGATTTCCCCCTGGAAAATGAATACAGATTGTTGGTGTATAAGTATATGTGTGTTTCACTAATAAATCGTACTTGTTTCACCCATCATCAAATTTTGACTGATGTTCAGGTGGGTTGCAATAGAGCTGCTATAATCTATCCAGTTATTCTGCTTGGAAATGGAGGGAGGTAAGCAGAGAAACTCTTGCTGAGTACTGAGCCTCGCTACAACATAATTGTAGTTTAAAGACACGTTACTGTAAGATTGGTTAAACACTTAGATACACCAACCATATGGAGTTCTTAGAAATAAGGGAAAGCGGGATTTAGACCAAATACACTGACTGACCTTCCTAAATAGGGACAGTTAGGGTTATGATATATATAAATGATATGCAAACATAATGTAAAAAATCACAGGAAGTGACAGTCCCCCTTTAAAATTTTACTTACTTTAGTAAAGTTTTGCTTTTTACATCTTTCTTAAAACCATGCTAATCTCCTGGCTTTTGGTACTTGACTTTTAAATTAAGTTTTCTTGGTCAGCATAAAGTTTGAACTCATTATGACCTTAATTCCTGAATACTTGTTTGACTTTTGAAGGACTTTACCCAGAGTACACCTTGAGCTTTTAAGATATGAGTTAATCCTTTGAATCTGGTTAATAAGTAATGCTTTTATCTCTGGAATGTAGACTTTTGAGGGTTGGCATATTTTATATTATAACTGTCTTAGAATTAGAGCCCTTTTTAATAGAATTGTTTACTTCTTTTTAAAAAAAAAATATTTTATTTTTGTTGTGCAATGGCATAACAATACAACAATAGACACGGTCTCTCACAGTAACAAAAGTCAGCAAACAATGTAAAGTATTGCTGCATTCATATGATGCAGCATCTGCACAATATTTTAAAGTATAAAGGAAGTGGCATGTATTGTCATTTATCCAACAGAATAATCCACTCAGGACTCCCCCAAACTGTCAAACGGTAAGCGGATTAATTGATGGCAGTGAAATAATAAGAGACTTACAAAATAACAAACAAATTCAACAGTAAAGATAGTGCCCTCCAGGGGCAGAACACAGTCCTGTAATGGAAAGAAATGCATCAGGCCTCATTGCCCCGGTGTAGGTATGTGCAACAGGCCCTGTGTCAACATCAGCATTGCTCGCAGTATCTAAGCCTCCCAGGGAGTCCCAGATTGTGACCCAACTGGATCGAGTCTCTTTGCTGATATGTACTTACATGTGGGATATTGTATTTTCAACCCCCATATTCAAGTCCTCTCTATATTTAGAGCCACAGACTAATCATAGATACTTGGAGGTGGTATTTGAGGTGAGTGGCCACTCGGCTTTCGTGGAGCAGGATAATGCACTAGATTTTTCAGCTTCCACCAAAAATGTGCGAAAATTCTGTGCAACTTAGACTGAATGTCTTGCTGCTGTGACTGGGGGACCACAGAGCATCGCCATGATGAGTAGGACACTGTGTCTTCTGCCTATTCTTGTGGCAGCAACACTTGGCCCCAATACAGCATGAAACCATGCCAGTTATCTGCTGGTATAGGAGGAGGGGGGTCATGGGGCACCTGTATAACATTGTAGTTGCCAAGGTCACTCCAGGCTGTGAGATCAACTGCCTCTCCCGTCTGCGTTGTGCACTAGGCCGCACTTTTTTGTGTCTCAGATGGAGGACCTCTCATATTCAGCTGTAAGTAGAGTCAATTACCGCTATAGTGTTGGTCAGCCAGGTCAAGAATTAGGTAAATCACTTCCATTCTCAAAAATCAAGCTAGAAGAGGTTCTCAAACCCTCTTTATTAAAAGATAAGAGAGGAGCTTTCTCAGAACATGTCTATCCAACATGAAAGTCAGGCCCCGCCACCCAGCATTATTTATTTTTAGTAGAATTGCTGGATGTTTATAATTCATTATAAAAATATCTTCCAGTTTAAATATAAATTTCTAATTTTAAAATGAATTAGTCTGCAGGGTAGGAATTTTTGATTGGGTCTTCAAACATGGATTTCCACGACAATTATTCGTGTTTCAAGAAATTTACATTTCTCTTGGGAACCGACTTTGTAAAGAAAGCACTCAGTTTGCTCTTTCAGTGCAGGGATAGTGCAGAATCTGGATATCCATTAGTTAAGGGAAAGTAGAACCTCATTGCAATGATAAAATATTGGTGTCCATAAATTTATATAATGTTCTGAGCTTTACAAAAAAGTAAGTTTGCTGGAAGTATTGTGTCCTTTTTAAAAACTTACATCCCTTTTAGAAAATCTTTTTAATTTGGAATTTGTTGTAGGCTTGCAAGCATTGAACATTTTTAGTTTCAACCATTATATTAAATGTTTTTGTAGTTGACATCAGTTATTTTTAGCAATGCAGAGCTATCACAGGACACAATAAGAAGTGTAATGTGTGCCTTAAGAACAAAATACTAAAGAAGAGAGTATTATAGTATACCAAATGCTATAGAAATGTTAACAGAATAATGTGGTTTTCAACTAATATAACAAACGTATACCTAAAAATGCTTTTTCCATTGGAATAACAAATGATAATACATTAATAACCTTAAATTGATACAAAATAATAAACCTTACGCTTTACGTTAAAAAGAATGGAAAAATATCAATTGCAGTTGTCGCTATAATAAAGAAAGCAGGGTAGTGGTAAGCGTGGTGTTTAAAATGGTGGCCATACATCTCATAAGGGTCCTGAACTTTGTGATGAAGAGCTATGAATACAATATAAGAGAGCATGGGGAGCCTCATAGTCACAATGAATTGATCAAGACTCGACCCTACCCCCTTACCCTTCATACTAAACTGCACATTTTTCACCGGAAATTAATACATACTCACTGTTTGAGTCCAATTCAACTCAACCTTTATTTTACGACTACTACCCCATTGGCAAATTTAGTTTAGCAGGCTCCTAATTTACAAAAATCTGTTTCCATCTGATACCCAGCAGTCATAAATGCCTCATATGATAAACCAACCATCCATCGAATTGGCTGGGAGAGAGAACTGGGAATATCTTATTTAGATGAAGATTGGAATATGATTTTGTTGTTTACTGCTAATATTTCTCACTGAACCAACCATACAGAACTTTACTACACATCACTGTTCATTTGTTATTTAACACCTGCCTGATTGAGCCATGTGTAACTTGGTGTTTCTTCAATAAGGTGGTGCAAATGCGGTGGCATGTGTTAAAGATATACATTATTCTGTCATTATTAAGTTATTTTAGGGGCATACGTACAGAGCAGCCAAGTGTAGGAGCAATCATTAAATATCACCATCCTCTGCACTGTCATTGTACATCACCCACACTGCCAGTGAGAAGAAAAGTTGCAAAATAAAATTACATTTAATTAGACAGGAAGGCTCTGCATGGGAAGCAAGTCCATTTTTAGTTACAATTAAATTGCATTCTGTTTTTTAATCACTAAAAATATACCCTTAGAATGAATATGGAACTTGGACCATGACCACATGAGTTTAAACGTTCTGAAAACATTTCCTCAGGGTAAGACCCAGACCCAGACGTCTCCATTGCATATTATATCTGTTTTTATTCATCTATTTTGCCTCATTACCATGCTGCCTTTGATAATATCCTGGAAGGTCAAAATGTCATTTCTAACTTCCTCTCATCACATCAAAGATAAGGACCAATAAGGGGTTGAATAATTTTGAGACAGGAGAAGTCCTTATAAGTTGCATTTTCAGTTGAATTTGGGGAAACCACTTGAAGCATTCGTTGTGTTGACCGCTTATGTTTGCTTTGTTCATTGCTAACATCTGAAAGTCTATACATTTTGACAAGAAACCCGATTTACAATGGGGGTTGAAAATTTTGTATTACATCTGTATTACATATTTATATACCAGGCAATATTTGCAATTCCTTTTTTGCCTTACCTCTTGCAAGTGACAATTGTCCCCAGAATTGGTCTCTTCTAGATCTTGTGATACAATTTACATATACTGTTGGTCTTTCCTATTTATTTGGTAGCTGCAGATAGTGTGTGTAATTAATATGAACATGTTATTCTATTTTATATCCACATTCTATGAGAATTCCACATTTTGGAACGCAAGCCTTTCCTTTCTGAATTACCTGCCGTTACATCTTTGCATATTTAGATTCTGTGTTGTCTCCACTTGAGCAACCCATTCTTATTTGGACTAATATGCAATCTGCTAACATTCAACACTGTCAACTGAACTGTTGAGTGGTGAATATTTTGTTGACATAAATTATGGCTGACCATTGAAATTTGCCTTATTCAATCAAATACTGCTCATAGAGAGCGTTTGATTGATGCAGTGCAGCATATGTGCATTAGCCTCCCATTGCTTCCCCATGAGGAAGCCCTGGATTGGCTGATATCACCAATTTTGATTATCTCAGCCAGGGAGGCAGAGTGGCTGCAGCAAGACCAGTGCAGCGTGGGAACACAGGTAAGCAAAAACTACATTTTAAAACCGGGAAAAACGGGGGAAGATTAGACACATAACAAGGTAGGGAATACATGTTTGTATTCCCATTCATTCTAATACCTGATAGTTACTGGTTGTGCTTTTAGGTCTCCTTTTTCATATGCTGGTGGAAAAGAGCTAGGCTTAGAGAAAATCTCACACTAGAAGAAGGTTTCCCTCTTCACCCATAAGTAATTAGTAATGCAGGTACATGAAGCATATTTTCTGATCAGTGTCAACTTTTATTTTTCATAATGTTTTTAGATCCTTGCTGGTCACTATGTGCAGTCTTAGGTTCTTTTCTTAACAATAAGATTTATTGGAAAGTTTGTGCTAATTTTATCACAGATTACTGGCTACACATATGTTTTTTCTCCAATGGTGATCCTCCTCCAAGACACCACTGCAATCATCTCTTTTAAACAAGAGCCTGTAGTTAGTCATCTGGTAAATGTATAAGATTCAGACCTATTCATTGGAGCGATCCACTGTACCCCACCCTACAAGAGTGAACTCACAAACTAGAATTAATTCGATGCATGGAGGAATGGGCATTTGTGTTCTAGAAACGAGGCATACTTTGATGCGCATACCATGGAAGGAATTTCTGGTCTCTTGTTTTATTTATTTATTTCTATTTATTTACTTTTTCACTCACTTTACTAGACTTCTAAAAGCTTTTATCCTTTTGGCATTTGAAAAGGTTTACTTAACTAGATTAACCCAGTTTTGTTTTCTCGCAGACTGTCTTTTGACATAGTGCTTTTATTTTTAAGTCCACTTTCCTCTCTTTAGTACCCTATTTGCCTCAGCAATTACCTATTGAGCACCAAAAAAAGGGATGATAGATATTCATATTTCATAAGTATTTTGATCCAAGTCAACAAAAGCAATCCACATTGCATCCAAAGATTATAGTGCTTTTTGTCAGCTGTTGCTTATATGCTCACTTGATTGGGTTGGGCCCTAATGACTCCAAAATAATAATTTATGTGCTTCCTGTGAGTAGGAATTATTCTCACAGTGGACACATTTTTAAATGAACTGTATAGCTTTTTGAATAGAAACATGTATTTCTAATGCTGTTCGCTGTTTAGGACGTTATCTCCCCCACAGTAAGGAGTACAACAATGTATTTGCTTACCTTTTCTCCTCACCGCAATGTTCTTTCCATGACTGACCCCACCTCCCTGGCTGAGATTATCATTCTTCATTCGTATTTGGAGGCTAGTGTAAATGTGTGGCAAAACACAACGCTGTACCAATTATATGGTGCTTATGAGACCTTCTAATTGAAATAGTTGAGTTTAAAGGACCACTATAGGCACCCAGACCACTTCAGCTTAATGAAGTGGTCTGGGTGCCAGGTCCAGCTAGGGTTATCCCTTTTTTCTATAAACATAGCAGTTTCAGAGAAACTGCTATGTTTATATTAGGGTTAATCCAGCCTCTAGTGGCTGTCTCATTGACAGCCGCTAGAGGCGCTTGCGTGCTTCTCACTGTGATTTTCACAGTGAGAAGATGCCAGCGTCCATAGGAAAGCATTGAGAATGCTTTCCAATGGACTGGCTGAATGCGAGCGCGGCTCTTGCCGCGCATGCGCATTCAGCCGAGGAGGAGGAGAGGAGGAGGAGAGCTCCCCGCCCAGCGCTGGAGAAAGAGGTAAGTTTAACCCCTTCCTCACCCTAGAGCCCGGCGGGAGGGGGACCCTGAGGGTGGGGGCAGTATGTTTTCCTGGCACTATAGTGGTCCTTTAACTCCTCATCCTGAAATATATTCAGATCCAGGAACACTATTCTATCTTTACTAGATTACTGTGTAAAATTTAGACCTATATCATTTTGATTGACATGGATAACAAATTTTAAAAGATCTTCCTAACTTCCTCATTACACTAACAGGATATCAAATATGAACCGCTTAAAAACACAATATTCTTAAAAAAGGAGTTATTATTCCAAATATATCTACTATATCTACTACTCAGATTTGTAGAACCTTTTGAAAAGCTTATCAAACACTATGAATTGTTGATGTTATTTTTAATGTTCATTACGATGCTGTAAAGGGTTTACCTTTCATACCTGTAGAAAAGTAATACAGTTTTTATTGAAATTAACGTTTATACACCAAAATTAACCAGTTTATACCCAAATGCCTGCAGCAATACCCTTATAAGAATACAAAGCTAATGCATAGCTAGATAAACAAGAACTTGCACATTACATTTTTCTTTTTCTTTCTTTTAGCCTGTACGCTGGCATTTAGACTTACAGCCGTGGGCTAGTTTTAGCCACTCACTAAATGACGAGGCAAAAAGATTTCTTCGCTACATTACAACAGCTCAGGTAAGTAAGGATATACAGTAACAGATATTGGGAAGCATTGGAAGGCTAGTGTGCATGCGCGACAAATTGCAGTGCTGAGCCAATCAATTGCTGCTCTATAAGTGTCTCCAGTAGCTGACCTGTCACTTTTTTATATTATCATGTCCCAATCCCCTCCTCCTCATTATTTGGACCTCCCTTTTTTAATATGCTCAATTTCCTAATTAGGTTATAATTGATTAATTTCATAATCTATACATACGGAAAAGTAGGGACTTTTTTTTATTATTATTAATACTATTATTGAATATATATTATTAATAAAGGGAATTGGCAACCAGAATGCCCTGTGAAACATTGGATCAATTTTTTCATGATAATTAATAGACACATAAAAACAGATATCAGAGAGAAATGTACATTAATTACCAAAATTGAAGGTACACAATGTGTAGAACATGACTGCGTTTTTTAATGCATTACTTAAAGATACACTATAGGCACCAGAACAACTACAGCTTAATGTAGTTGTCCTGGTGAGTATAATCATTTCAGAGAAAAGGCAGTGTTTACATTGCCCCCTAGGTATACCTCCTGTGGCCACTCCTCAAATGGCCACTGAAGGTGCTTCCTGGGGCAGAGCTGCTGCTTTTCAGCGTCTCCACGTTCTGCATGGAGATGCTGAAATTTTCTCATAGTGATGCATTGATTCAGTGCATCTCTATGAGGATAGTGCTGATTGTCCAGGGCTCTGTTTGGCTTATCCTGGTTCTGCCCTTGTTCGGCCACACCCCCATCCAGCCTCCTCACCGTATTCATTGGATTGGCTAAAAATTGTAAATTCTGAGATGTCACCAATGAGGCAGATCGGGGGCCGGGCCAGCGCAGGTGGATTCGCTCGGCACTGGAAATAAGGTATGTTTTAATCCTAAATGGTGGTTTTAACACTATAGGGACAGGAACACATGTTCGTGTTCTTGACCCTATAGTGTTCCTTTAAGTAACACATTCCAGTGAGGCAAAAATAACAAAACCAAACAAAAAAGTACTTTGAGTGAAAGTTCCTAAAATCGCAGCACTTGCATTGTAAATTGCTACAGCAGTAAGATTAGCCACTTATTCTGCCTGTGGGGTTTTCTCACACATAGGATGAGTGGAACTGCTCAATAAGCTGACAGCAGTTTCTGAGCCGTTTTCACAGTTTTGTGAACTGGGCTGTCCGCAGCAATCTTCCGAGCTATGATCTCCCTAATTTAATAAAGTAACTTAGAAGAAAGGGAAATGGGGTTATTGAGGACTCACACAACAAAAAGTATAATTATGATCAGAAGCTTTTTAGAGACAAGTTTAAGTATGTTCTTCCCTGCCAATCAGCATGTGCATATGTGATTAACATTTAAATCTCCCCTTCAAATATGGGACTCTGGATTTGATTTAATGCTGTAGGGTCCAATTAGTACCCACTTTCTCCTGAGTACCTGGAGATGGGAGACAAACATGAGTGGACCTTACTCAAAACATCCTTAATATGGAATGCAAATTAAAAAAATAAAACATATAAACATTCTCAATAATTATAATTAAATGTATATTAGCAATATCTAAAAAAATATACATTATTAATGATGTAATGGAACAATTCTGTAAGGAATTTTTTCTTTGGCTGGTTGAAATCCCAATGGTTCGATTTCATTTATTCATCTGTCTGAGATCAGAGATCACTATGCATCCTGCAATTTTCATGCAGTCTCAATGGCAAGGCAAACTTTGTCAAATTTATACAAATGACTCTCTGATAGGTTTAGTTTGGCAATTTGCTTTAGATTCCACAAGTAACAAATATCTCTTTTCCCCATAGATATTTTGTTCTCAGATGGTGAACAATGGTCTGTCAAATCAGATTGAGGACACATTAAAGCCTTGGACTGTCTGCTTGGATGACAAATTTGAATTATCTCACCAGATCAGAAGTAAACAATGTCGCGTTTACTCATTGGGGTAAGTTTGTTTTTTGGCGTTGTTTTGCAAAGCAGTTAAGTTTGTGTACTGTCTCGTCTCACAAATGTTTGAAATAAGGCTGAGTGTTTTTCTCCTTTGTGTGTCTGTATGATTTAGTGCATACACTAAAGGGAAACGTCACGTTGACCTGCTTTGCAATCTATTATATCGATAATGTGTTGAAAGATGCAAAAAATGACATTTAAAAAAACAACAACAACAGATATCTTCCCATGTCATTTATTTGTAGTATATTGGCAACTTCTAAGACGAAGTTCAATAATTTTTCATTTTCAACACATCCTGGTCCTCCCACTGTTCTTAATGGGAGCTCATTGAATGTTCCATAGATTACTGCCCAGTAGAGCATTTGGGGATATATACTTGAGCAATTAGGAATAGCTCATTTGCTACTCTGCATTCTAATAGTTATTTGAATGCATTACCTATTAGCTCGCCTAATAGCTTCATTCATTCACAGCTTGAATGTGTGCAGGCAATCACAATAATTACCAACAATAGCAGGGCTTCCATCAGTGGGGTAAAGCCAAACGAGAACAGGGTTGCATAACCCCAATGTGGATATGTATATAGAGTATCAATATGTGTGTTTATATATATATATATATATATATATATACATATATATATATATATATATATATACACCTGCGGGCCACTGCTAGCTTCTACCTCTGGTAGTGTCCTCTTGTGAGCTGTGGCTGTCACACCATTGCCGCAGGTTAATGCTTCATGCAACATGCTAGGCTTGCAAGAGAGGGAGAGGACCTGCTGCCTGGCTGTTGGAGGGTGAAGATGGAGTCTCCCAGACCCCTCTTCAATATATGCAACAAATTTCAAAAACTGTCCACCCCCACAGTCCCTATCTAACAACACAAACTAACACAAGCACACACTGTATCTACTACACACACACTGCATCCACTACACACTGCTTTCACTACACACACACTGCATCCACTACACACACTATCCATTACACAGTGCATCCACTAGACACACTGCATTCAACACACACACACACACACACACACATACTGCATCTACTGCACACACTGCAGCCAACACACACTTCATCCACTACCCACACACACACACACACTTCATCCACTACACACACTATATCCAACACAAACTTCATCCACTACACACACACACTGCATTCACTATGTACACAGACACTGCATCCACTCACACACACATACACACTCTGCATCCACTACACATACACACTTTATATCCACTATACACAAATACTGAATCCACTTTACACAAACACGCTCTCTGTATCCACTATACACATATACACACACTGCATCCACTGAGTACACACACTGCATCCACTGAATACACACACTGCATTCAATTTACTTATTCTTGTGTATGGACTCGGAGATGAGCCCTGTGGGTGGGCTCTGGGGCAAGCAACCAGTGCCAAGGTGATGGCAGCCCTGAACAACAGAGAAAGTAACAAATGAACTTCTTGTGCTATAACCTATACTATGCGATGAGCATCTTTATGGTGCTTTCATTGTCTTTTTGATCAGGCTTTGTATGCACCAGGAATATGAAAAGTTACAGGGGCACTCTAGGCACTCGCACATCTTAAGTGTAGGTCAGGCTACAGTTGGTTATGTACTTTTTAATATGTATTTTAAGTATAAATAATAATCTAAAGGCACATGGTACAGGGTTATACTATTTGTCATCTACCTCAGAGAACCATAAGAACATGCTTTAAAGATAAGAGTGTGCTAGAATTTTGTTTAGGGTGAAAAGGAATAATGACAGGTACGAAAAAATGATACTAAAGTGGCTTAGTGTATCCCATTGTTTATTATCCTTTAAGAATAACAATTGCTCCATACGACAAGCTCTCTCCTAAACTGTAATGGTATCCTTTTTGCTCCAATAGTAAAATGGTATGTAATACCATAAGGCTGCACAGCAAAGGAAGTTCTGTCTGTTTACAGGAAAAAAGCAGACAACCAAAATACAACTCCCAGAAAGCACCGCCATGCAAGGAAGTTTAGGATAAGCTGTGCACTGCTACAGATATTTAAAAGAACACTACTACTTTAGAGAGAAAAAATGTTTATTTTTTAACATTGGATGGTTTATTTTTTACTTTAGATTTAATGGTCCCCCATGTACCTGTAATCCTAAAATGTCCTTTTGTTACAGGACTAGAAATTATTTTACATCCAATCCTATGCTTCTCTTAGGGAAGCCTTAGGAGGCAGGCATGTGTGGCAATAGCAGATATCTCTTGCAGAGATGTGTTAAAACCAGGACTTCTCCTTGAGAAGCCCCAATTTCACCCTGAGTGAGTGAATAAACGGAACCCTCTGGTTGAAAGCCATGAGGTGTTACTAAAGGGAGGTTATAAAAGGGTTGATTTATCTGGAAATACAAAATAAAGCAAAGGACAGTTAACCCCTAATGCACTTCAGCAAGCTAGGGGTTGTAAGTGTTCCTTTCAAAGATCAATTGGCGAGTCACTTCCTGGTAATAGCAGTCTACTGTCAGGGGTGTCCTTTAAAAGTGTAAAATACTCTATAATCAGAAATAGATATTTTTAATGTAACGATTAGATTGTTCTTAGTAACCTGATCACCTTTTATGTGAGCATAGCCGTCGTGTACAATGTATGTACCTGCAGTTTACATTTGATTAAATAATTTAAAGGATTATTCAAACATATGACATATCATGCTCTTTGCGTAAGCTAATAGTGTAAGGAGGTCCCATGTTTCCTTGCACAAATTTGCTAGGAACTGTAGTAATTGCCATTATTACCGGGTTATTCACTAAAGTGGAAATTCAGATGTAAGGTAAAAGTAGGCAAAATGTAAAAATTCTCTTAGTCCCGTTCGGCATCTTTGGCCCTAAATTTGACATTCTCTTTGAATTCTCACCTTAGTGTTGGAGCCTGAGCAGTAGTCATAACATTCACTACAAACGTCTTACAGCTCCACACACATAACTGCGGGCTAGTAGTTTTAATTTTTATCTATAAAAATACTGAATGATTGTTGGAAGCATTCGGCAATGCCGATAAATATTCAGATCAGAAGGTCTGCAGGGCCTTCATTCGGTGAGTAGATTTCTGCTGAAAAAAGCGATGAATCTCGAAGTATATGCTTACAATCTGAGGAGCACCTTCCACGTGCCCCTTACTCTTCGGCAGTCAGGCACTTAAACTATTTCTTTATCAAAGACAGGACTCAAAGGAATTTAACTTTTACGATTAGAATGTGGATGAGTCATTTCTTCTGGACATGATACATCTGTTGATGTTGAGAAAGGTTAAACATGAACTTGAAAAGCCAAATCATTATTTAAAGTGGAACTATCATCTGAATATTGTATTACATATATTTCAACACAAAGTGAATTTGTCTAATTTGTGCTAAACAGTGTAGTCCAGTCATTTAATTGTCCGTATATATCAATACAGGATTTATCTAACTAGTAGATTATTCTCAGTGATCTGACCACCGATTAGGGAACTGTCCCCAACAAGCATAGTGTGAGCTACGAATCAGTGCTCACTGAAGGGAATACAAAGCATTTGCTGAACCGATAAATAACACAAGCAGAATACGGCAACATGCACACCTTAATTGAAATTTCCCAGTGGTCCCCGAAGTCTACAAACAACATTTCATTAAAGTGTTATCTAAAATGCTCCCATATACATTGAATATACATATCACAGCTATACATTCACTGTAAAATATGGAAATGTACTAGTTTTTCCTTCATTCCAGCGCTGCCATCTTCAAGGTTTGCGGGTGTTACTCTACATGTAAACATCTTACAACAACAATTTTGCAGAGGAGAGTATACTCTATCACTTTAAATCCTGACAACAGGCTGCAAACCTAGGTATTTTTTTACACAAATATAAGATAAAGAACATACAATAAACTCAAAACAGAAGACACAGTGAAAAGGCTGGAATCGGTACCAAAAAAAGTAATAATGTTACCATCAATAGTCTACCAGGGCAGGACATAAGCCACTAAACCCCCAACATTTCGTCACACTACTAGATGCTTTTTTTACTGTGTGTTGTGTCTGTACTCTTCATGTAATACCCACCTCTGAACCAGCCTCAATTGAAGCCAGCGTGCCAGTTTCACGCCGTTCCTATACTCCCTAGTCAGAGCTAGCAGGGTTGACTATGGAGTTTCCATAGCAACCCCAGCGGATGCGCTGTGTTTGCTATAGGTGGAGAGCAGAGGGACCTTAATAGTTTTTTTCCTCTTAATCTATACATTTGCAAGTAAAACTGCAAGCACAATGTGTAGATAATGTCTTGAGCTCAATCTAATGAACATAAGTTGTTTGGGGCATGACACATGCCTTTTAAGTCTAGGCACCATTCAGATCAAGCCACCCTGTAATTATTAGTAATACTGTACATATGTTTTTAACACCGATCTTTATTACATGTAATTTATTGTACAAACCTTGAGATACCGTGAGACCCTTTGAGATATGTCAGAGAAAATTAATCTTGTATTAGTGATTATTTATTAATAACTTCAAAATATTCCAGTGTGTGAATAAAAAAGCAGCATTTTAAGCGATCCTATTTTGACACTATTGAAGGAAATCCTTAGTGACTTCTCGTCCTAGTTATCTGAATTTTAAGCAGTGTAAGAAAGGCTACCGGAACTGGACAATATCCTTATCTGTCATGATTAGGAGCAATATGGGTTCTCTGCCAATCTGCAGAATTAATTTAGTTTTTATCTCATGCATTATTTTGAGCCCTTCATCATATTAATAATTAGGTCAATGTAAAAACGTGTTAGATGTGCCTATAATTACTTAATGCTCCGTTTTAATTGTCATGAAATTACATATCTGAAACCTATGAGGGTCACGTGAGCAAATGTGTTTGTGTCATTTTTATTAGCACCTTTATAATCAAATGTAGTAAATTTCATGCACTCCTTGTGATAATTACTTTATTAGAGACTAACACACATTATTCTTTGATATACCAAAGGAAAGGGCAAAAAAATTTTATTTTTCAAATTGTGTATATGTTTTCATTTTCCATCATAATTTGTTTGTGACATGAGAAAACAAAATCTACACTGCTATATTTAACTCTTTTCTTTCTACATCATGGTTTCCTGTCTTTTTCTGCTATTGAATATAAATATAATGTTTATGTTTTTCTCATTTGAATTGTGTGCCTTGACTGTGCCTGGACTGAACTAGATTATGACGTTGCTATCTAAAACATTAAAAGAATTAAGTATTCATGGTCTTCCCATCTGTCTGTCAGTCCATCCCTGTCTGTCTGTCTGTCTATCTATCTATCTGTCTAGATAGCTGTCCATCTATCTGTCTAGATAGCTATCTATCTATCTATCTATCTATCTATCTATCTGTCTAGATAGCTGTCCATCTATCTGTCTAGATAGCTGTCCATCTATCTGTCTAGATAGCTGTCCATCTATCTGTCTAGATAGCTATCCATCTATCTGTCTAGATATCTATCTATCTATCTATCTATCTGTCTAGATAGCTATCCATCTATCTGTCTAAAAAGCTATATATCTGTGAAAAATAGCTATCTGTTTATCTATCTGTCTAGATATCTACCCATCTATCTGTCTAGATATATATGCATCTATCTATCTATCTATCTATCTATCTATCTATCTATCTATCTGTTTATCTCTCTCTCTATCTATCTATCTATCTATCTATCTATCAATCTATCCATCTATCCGTCTATCTATCTATCTATCTATCTATCTATCTATCCATCTATCTGTCTAGAAAGCTATCCATCTATCTGTCTAGATATCTATCTGTCTAGATAGCTATCCATCTATCTGTTTAGATAGCTATCCATCTGTCTGTCTAGATATGTACCCGTCTATCTGTCTAGATATGTACTCGTGTATCTGTCTAGATATCTACCCCTCTATCTGTCTAAATATCTACCCGTCTATCTGTCTAGATGTCTATCTGTCTAGATGTCTATCTAAATAACCCAAGTGACATGTATCTCAAATAAAAACTTGAATTACACAAAAGTGCTCTTTATGGTAATAATTACCATTCAAATTCTATCAGTGTCATCTTTTCTGATGGAAAAGGAAGCACTGCAGTCAGTTTGCATTGTATGTTCTACCCTTTGTCTTACGTGGAAGGAGTTAATTTGTTCAGATATGATATCCCCTTGTGTTAATGTATAAACGGAACTGTAAAGAAATGTTCTGTTGTATGTAACTCTGCACGCAGGAGAAGGCAAAGTATGTTTACACTGTGCGTTCCTTCTTTCTGGCACTGATGTTGTATTTTAATTTTCAGCAGGCTGTGTCTTATCCATGTAGACATTTGGCACATTTATGTTTTGGCAACCAATAACAAGACGTGGCAAAACCATTTGTTTAAAAAATTGCAGAGTCAAATTTATTTTTCAGCAATTCTATGTCCTACAAAAAGTCTTCTTTTAACCTGTTTATTTTCAGGTGATATTGATGTCAAACAGATTAAGACGTATTGATTACTTATAGATCGTCAGAAGTTTTGTTTTGTCAATGGATCAAAATAATATTGTTAAGAGGTGATTTTGTTTTCAATTTTTTCACAATCTTTCATTTTTTTAAAATGTAAATAGGAATATACAGGTATAAAAAATAGTAACAAGGAGGGAGATATAAACCATGCATGTAAATTGTAAGCTCTATATTCATCAAAACACAAAACAAGGTGCAACTATTAATTAATTAAACTAAACCAACTCACACAAATACCCGAAGTCGCAGAATGGAATGTGAAGAGTAAAATGGAAAAACATAAGAAAATACCGTAGCGGAGGAGGAAGAGGATGGAAAAAAAGTGATGGGGAACTTAGTTCAATGCAGTAACATCTCTGCAGGTTGAAATGGTAAGTCCAGAGTGACAATGTCAGATATAGCAGAATGAAAGGAGCCACCAGTTGTTCTCGGAAGAGCAAGTATAAACATTTTGAGCATTGTTCATCCAGCATGCTCCAGATTCTGTTCCCATATGATCTGTTAGCGTGGGGGTTCCTTCTAACGAAGTAAGTAAAACTTGGTAGAGAGAGAAGATTTCTCCTTCTAATAGGGTTATTTAGTAAAGTGAGAATTGTCGGGATGTCAAAGTGTAAGCGAAGCTTAAGTTCTGAGTCGCAGAACTGAAAAAGTTCTCCCAGTCAGCTATTCTTCAAGTTTTGCAAATTTTTAACTTAAATTTGAAATTAATTTTGAATTCCCATCAGTTCTTACTTTAGTGAATTAACCTTTAAACATTCCCTGCCCAAGCACCTCTTCTTAAAGGGAAAATGCACCCTGCGCAGTTTATGTCTAAGAGTTAAGAACCTATAAAAAGGTAAAAAGTTGCAATAACACTCTTTCAGAGTTATTCACAATGGAGAGAATTGTTGGGATTTTAAAGTGAATTTAAATTTAAGGCCAAAGTAACTGAATGAAATCATAGCTGACTTGGATAAATTTTCAAGCTCAGCTATTTTAAACTTAAATTTGAAATGCAGTTTGTATTCCTATTAATTCTCACTTTAGTCAATAACCCTATTAATGTCTGGTAGGGGAAGTATACTGTTTCCGAAGCTTATAGATTGCACTAGATTCCTAGTTACACAGGAACCCCAGAATTCAGGATGCATTCATGGTGGAAATTTTAGGTTGTCTGGCAAGAGAAGGAGCAAGGCCAGATTAAGAGCCCATTGGGTCTGGTGCTGACAATTATGATGGGCCTAATTACAGAATCTAATTGACAGAAAAACAAGATGCATTTATATGAATACACATTTCCTATGCTAATCTCTCGCTTTCATCTCCTAACCAAATTCATACCCCACAACATTGGCGTCATGTGAATCAGTACTTTGGTGGCGGGGTAAAATGAGGTGGACGGCGGGCCAGTAATGAGAATCGTGTCACTGGCACCACCAAACGGGGTGAACCTGCCTGGAGAAGAGTGCAGGTCTACCCAAAGAATAGGAAGGTCAGCATGAAATAAATGGTTGCAAGGCTGTCTGCCCGTCATCCAGGCTGGCTAACTAAGGATGGGCTATGCACCCTGAGCTCGGCATGAATGCATCTAATGATATGTTCTCTCTATGCATTCTCGGAACGGTTCACTGGTGCCCCCAGAGCCTACTTGTCCACTCCTTCCCTTGTTACTTGCAGGCAGATGCAGGGCTGGTGAATGAACTTTTGCCCTCCTAGACGAAACATTTTGCACTACATATGCACCACTACAGACAAGTTCATTGATGCACACATACAGAGACAAGCTTACTGACATACACACGCTCATTACAGACAGGCTCAGTGGCACACACATATTCACTCTTACTCTCCCTTGGGAACTAGCGCCCTATACCACTGCATAAATTTCATAATGGAAGCCCCAGCACTGGACAGAAGCTCTTGGTATGCAGTCTGTGATAGAGAAACGATGGGTATATTGAGTATAGAAGAAATATATACACAGAATGAAATGTCAGATTTATCTTACATTTATAGTCAGTCAGTGCCCACATCCGTCCTACGTCCTCATACTTAATTCACTCTGCACAAAGCAAGAGCATGTGAAGAGAAGTAAAAAAATTAATGGGCCTGTTCTATGGGCATAGGCCTGGAGCTTCAGTTAATCCAACTGTGGGAAGGAGTGATATAAGAGGGGAATGTATAATATGGGCACCATTTGTAAAATTAGAAAGGATTAAACTGCTTATAGAAAATATGAGATGCAAATATAACTGGGGCATCAGAGTTTAATCAGTGATGTTAAGAGATGGAGCAACCAATATAATAATTAAAGGGACTTTATAGTCACCAGAACAACTACAGCTTAATGTAGTTATTCTGGTGAGCATAACATGTCACTGCAGACTTTTTGCTGTAAACACTGCTCTTTCAGAGAAAAGGCAGTGTTCACATTACAGCCTAGGGACACCTCCAGTTATACTTCCTCCTTTTTAATTCTTTATTTTCAAAAGCATAATAAGGTACAACAAACAGACTGTTACATTGCAGCGCAGAGATAAAATAAACAAAAGAATGCAATTGTAACAGAAAATAAAATAGTCAGAGGCTAGAGTTAATTTGTGATCGGAAAAAGGATTACTTTGTCTTATCTAACAGAATTCTGGTACCTGCCTGATATGCAACAGTTGTCCGCAGTTTTACTACACTGGAAGATAGGCGAAAACCCTATTAGTACCATAATACCATCACATTATCTCATTGCCCCTATACCAGCTGATCTAATCTTTGTAATTATCCCTTTCACTGCTCTGGGTAAAAGCTGCAAAGTGCTGCTGTAGCCCACTGCAGCATTAGAGGTTAAATAAATTAGACTATTGTTTGGAGTGTCCCAGGACCCAATGACAATGTGATCCCACCGCCCAACCAGTCGCATAATACATTTAAAGGATTGGATATATTCAACCACTTGCTAAATGGCTTGCTGTTCGAATATATGATGCTCTGCTGCTCAAAAATAGTAATAAGTTTAAAACATAAATTTCATTTCTTTTACAAAGTAATTTAATCTGTAAGTGCAGAGATAGCTTTTCCGTCAAAGATTATAACAGTTTATATTATAGCATATGGTCAGACAGCTGTTGGTATGTTTACTGGTGATATAGCGCCATAGTGGTTAGCACTAAATAAATAACTCGCAGTAATGAAACCTAGAATTTATCTTCTGCCCGCATTACATACTTTATTGGCCTAAAGATATCCATAGAATCAGTCACAAACTAAGATGATTTATTGTATATGTCATTAAATATAACATTAAGAAAAGAACACCTCCCAGAATAGTACATCTGGCAGTTCAACTATTAAATGAATCCTGTTTTGCTGACTTCTGGATTGCACATGAACTGGAATTTGTTGTCCCTACAGAGCACCTGTTCACTACCATAGTGCAATCAGTGGGACAATGAAAAGGGGTTTAATAAAAAAAAAAAGCAGCAAAGTATGGTGATATAAAAAAAAACTAATTGAAGAATTATGGTTTTGGTGTGATTATAGCAGAGTTTAAGCAATCTTTCATCTAAATTTTGAAATTTGATAATACAGTATATCCGCCAACTTTGATCTGGCTGGAATTGAGATAATTTAGATAAATATCGTCAAACCCAGCTTAAAGCAGTTCTGTCTTTTTTTTTTCTTTTGAATTTCCTTTCCTTATGCACCCTGTATTTTAATGATTACACTCCAATTATTCTCTTTTCTTCCTTGTGCCAGATCTCAGTATCTGGGTGCAGCTATTTTATTCTCCTCCACGATGTCTGCAGTTTACCATTTTGATATTGATTTTTCTGATGGATTGTGGGTAAATTTGATTGGCAAATTAAATAGAACCTTGCGTAAGCTCTGCCCATCGTCAAGGTTTGTCAACTGCTATGCATAAAGTAAAGTAGACCCTACTTGGAATATGTTTTATGACATTAAATTTTATGACAGCGCTCAGGGAAAAAAAAATAATTCATACACATGGAGCTATTCAGAAGCAGATTAGAGAAAGCTTACTTTTTGTGACATTGCTGCTTTAAGTGTTCTGGTACACTAATGTGTCTTAATGCAGAGAGCTTTTACACAAATAAAATACTGAACCACTGCACATGCAAGTCACTCTTGCTAAAATTCCAACCTCTCAGTACTAAATTGTTTGTGTTTTATTACATGCATTCACTAGTGTTCATTTTGATATTCGTGTGTGCTGTGCTGTTACTCTAACCTCCTCAGTTTACTTTCTTTACCTCAATTCACTGTCTAGTTACTAGTAGGACTGGTCCCATATGCAGCTTCTTTATACAATGGTTAGATTGTACAGAAGCACATCTCCCTAGCTTCAGTTACAAACTCCTTCTAAAGAGACTAAGTGTGTCTGTTTTCTAAACCTCAAGATGCAGTGCCATGAGAACCAACTTGCTTAATGTAGGCCAAATAGAGGAGATACAATAAATTCCACAACTTTTCTTAATTAGTGCATTTATCCAGAGCTCGTTCCTCCAAACAGTCCTAGGACTGGTGGGACATTCTTAGTTTCCAGGTCCTGTTCCACCATCCCAGATGGCGCACAGCTAAGATGGCCCTACCATGACAGACCCTTCCCTCTTCCAGACAGTTCTGCGACTCATTACATCACAGCCCTTTCTCTTGGGTCTGCCTCGGGTCCCGAGTTGATACCTTCCAATGCTAGGAGATATGAGAACGTGTTCTACTTTAATTATTCAAGTGGATTCTCAAATTACACACACTTGCTGTAAATTGTATACAATACTCCCACATATTCTGCACTGTATGTCACCTCAGATCTATTAGAGATTTTATTGCCAACTTTACATTTTTTCACCGCTTTATTATATCATTTTCTCTTTCGGGTTTGAAGAACTAGCATAAATCTCCCAATTTGTTGTCCATCATTGCACTCTTTGCATATGGGATTTACTTGGAGTAGAGATGTCTTCTGCTGGTACTGTGTGTCACTAGCGACATCCTCAATGCATGCAGCCTGTGAATAAAGATTATTTTTTAAACTGGAAAGAAACACCACACAGTTCAATGTTGTCCAAGAAACCAAGCTAAAGAAATCATTATATAAGAAAATGAACATATAAAATAAAATAGCCACTCAAAGTTTAATGTAGCTTAGTATTATGACTAAAATCCTGTTAGGGTCCCCAGTCCCTCACATCTGTGGAGGGGGTGGGTGGTTACTGAGACTGAGCCTGTACAGTGGTTTCTAAGGAGCTATCTTTCTAATCACTGAGCCTTTGCTTATTGTTATGTAATACTCACTGTAGTGTATAAGTGATTATTCCATCACCATAGCAACACAATATAACATTCTCCAAGTTCTCTCTACCACACAAACTGCACACTAAGGAGGGGGATGCTCCATTTAATATGCACTGTCACTGCTCTCTCGAACTTGGCTTTCCTCTTCACAGAAAATCTAGTCACAGTTTATATAACCAGTTTTCACTTTATTGAAAACATATGTCCTTTTGGAGCACTCACTAAGCAAAGTTTTTTTCAGTACAGTTATTTTTTTCCCCAGTATGTTGTGTTATTCAGAGGTCTTGTGTCGAGCTCTGCAGGATTCTCTTAATAAATTCCCATTGATCACCAAATATTAAATATTCCAAAATTACATATACAGTGGGACCTCGGTTTACAAATTGAATGCGTTCTCCGGGAGTTTTCTTATTGCGAAAAATTTGTAAACCGAAACGTGGTTTCCTATATGAATGCTTTGAAAACCAATTAAGCTGTTCTGGAGGTCAGAAAAAAAGTCAAAATGAGCTGGCATGGAAACCAACCCACAATGCAGTACACCTAATAAAAGGCATGCAAATGGCAAAGCGAAGCTCCCTAGCTTTCCACAGCCTGACAAATGCACCAAAAAGTCCTAAAACAACTGCAAACAATATCCAGAATGGCTCCAAAACATGATGCAAAAGCCGCTCCAACACCTCCAACAACTCCACACTCGATGCCACGTGCTACCCACAGGCTCCAGCATGCAGGGGCGGTGCTATAAACCTCCCAGATGCAATGCATCCTGGGGAAACTTGTTTTGTATTGCGAAAAAAGTTTGTAAACCGAGGCATTATTTTCAATGGATTTTCATTTGTAAACCGAAAATTATGTTAACCGAGGCGTTTGTAAACCGAGGTCCCACTGTACATGTTTTAAAGGAGCTGAGAGAAGAAACAAAGTTTGCCGTGCGAACAGTGATATCAAAACCATAGAAAATTCAGAGTGCTTAGTGTGCATATCAACAAATATACTTAAATGGACACTATAGTCACCAGAACAACTAATGCTTATTGTATTTGTTCTGCTGAGTATAATCATTACATTCAGGCTTTTTGCAGTAAACACTGTTTTGTTTTGGTTTTTTTGCAAAAAGGCAGTGTTTACATTACAGCCTAGTGATACCTCCACTGGCCACTCCTCGGATGACTACTAGAGGTGTTTCCTGGGGCAGTTTAGTGTGCAGAACTGCCATTCAGTGTCTCCACCCTCTGCATGGAGACACTGAACTTTCCTCATAGAGATGCATTGATTCAATGCATCTATATGAGGAGATGCTGATTGGCCAGGGGTATGTTTGGCTTCTGCTGGCTCTGCCTCCTAGACAAGCCCAGCCAATCCAATGTGCAAGCATTGTGATTGGCTCAGAGAATCACTTCTGATGATGTCAGACAAGCAGGCAGATCAGGGGCAGAGCCAGCAGCAGCAGACTGGAGTAAAGGTAAGATTTTGCTATATTTAGGGGGAAGCCAGGGGGGCTAGATGGTGGTTTTAACACTATAGGGCCAGTAATATATGTGTGTTGATAGATAGATAGATAGATAGATAGATAGAGCCTTCCCTGAGTTTTGAGAAATATTGTCTAAAGAAGGACAGAGTCTTAAAGATTAGAAATGGAAATATTAAACACAATATGAAAGTGAGGCAAATTGAGGCAGATTAGGAGGAGAAAGAAAAAGAATAGAAGAGGGGGGTCTTCCCATAGCCCTTGGGAAGACACCAATGGTATCTGTTTTGTGGTCTGGTTACTGGAGGAGAATAATGTCCTATTAATGCTACTTGGAAAGTCATCCAGATATCAAAATTAAGTCCTAAGTGTGGGGAATCATGACCGGAGAACTCCTTATAAGATGACGGGGTATAGAAAAGCTGTGTTTTTGTTATCCAACACAGTTTTAAAATGATTTGTTTTTTCCTTACTAAGAAAATGCATTTTTTTTTTAAATGATACCTTTGCCTTACCAATGTTAATTTGTTTTTCCTATTTTAATGTGGCATGTACACTTATATTGTAGATTAGGGGAAGATGATTACATCTTTGAAGCCAACATGGCCAATGGAGGATGTGAAGTCCATCGCTTTGATCCAAGCATTACATCTGCTCACATCCATGAAGGGGAACGACTTTGGCACCATCGCCTCTCTGTTGACTGGAGGGATCCCAACCCTGCTATTGCTACACATAAACTACACAGCAATACTAAAAAATTAGGCACCATTATCAATGAGTTTGGTCACTGGAAGGTAAGAGTTGTTTGAGTGTTTTATTGAAGACGTTTTTATTGAATTATTTGCCATGGAAGATATTTTTTTATTTCCATTTGTTGATCTTCTAATGTTGCTCAGACTCCAAACTTGCAAACATATTTGACATAGTATCGTAAAAAAAAATCTGCTTCATAGCTCCAACCCTCCTCATTGATGGTTTTCAGCAGGTACAAAATGTATTGGAACCATGGATTGCTTTATTTCATATTCTTAACGGGCTATATTTTCTGTTTGTGATATGAATGTGGAAATGTGGAGCCTCGCTGCTCATGCACAAAGTGTAATTAGTCACTTGAATTGGTAATTACTGAGAAGGTGTAAAATCTATCCCTGAATGACCCTTAATCCATTCAGGATAATAAAACATTTTAATAAATATGTCAGACTGTACTTTAAATTGGGTATATCCCTGAACATATTACAAGAAGATATTTACCTGTGGACTACGTATGTCTCCTTCAATATGGATGCTGGAAATGAAGTGGTAGTGCATGAAGAATTTCCAGCAGCCGTCTTTGTGGGCTTTCATGTGCTGAGAATCTTGGGGGATCCTCAGGAATGCTATGCAAAATAACCAAGTCTATATATTTCTTAGCTATTAAGCACATTTAATGTTTAATGTATAAATAAAATTAGGATCGCTACAAACTGGACTTAAAGGACAACTGTCATCAAATTTCTATTATTTGTTTTTTCAAAGTGTATTAAATTTTGGCTGGGCAGAGCTTGACTGCCATGCTGGACAGTTGCACATCTTCTGAGCTCATCACAACAGATTAAATGTAATACTATTTTGAGGCCATTCACCCCACTTATGCAGGCATTCTGTCTACTAATCTCACAAAGCAACACTGTGGGAAAGCGTTTTGGTGGCAAATCTGAACACGCTGAAAGTTTTCCTGATAGGTGGATTTTGTGGCCTATTCAAGGCCCTTGTGGTGACACAGGTGGGAAAGGTGGTCGATCTCTCCACTATTAGCCAAGCAGCATATAGAAGCCTCTAATCCATACCCTCCCCCACTTCCGGTGAGCCATGCTGTAGCTCCTCAACACTCCCCTACTCTTCAATACTGTGTTCTTTGCTGATTTTTGGAAGAAGATCCACCATTGCATACAGCGTCCCAAACACCAGCGACAGACCCCCATCTTACCTTTGTGTCCAATACAGCCTGTAATCGATGTACTTGCTGCATCTCCTCAAGGAGATGAGTCCCTTAATTTTCTCACTTGTGTTGCCAATTGTCCTCTCCTTGCTCTTCTACATTGCTTATTTGTGTTATTCTTTATTAATAAAAATCAAGTTACTTTTCCTAGGTGAACAGTGTGACTGGCTTGTTTCCCATGGTGTAAGGTGCATAGTGTAGGAGTCGGACCCACTGATATTGGGGTTCTTCCACTGATATTGGGGTTCTTTGACATAGTGGTGGGCTTAACATGACATGAGCCGTATGGTGTAACTGAAAAATGTATTTATGTTTTTGTGTGTACACTGTTCCTTAAAGGACCACTATAGTGCCAGGAAAACATACTAGTTTTCCTGGCTCTATATGGTCCTTGGGTCCCCCTCACCCTCTGGGCCCCCCTCCCGCCGGGCTCTAGGGGGAGGAAGGGGTTAATCCCTTCAATCCCCTGTCAATGAGACAGCCACTAGAGGCTGGATTAACCCATTTGTAAACATAGCAGTTTCTCTGAAACTGCTATGTTTACAGCTGCAGGGTTACCACTAGATGGACATTGAGCTGAAGTGTTCTGGGTGCCTAGAGTGGTCCTTTAAGTGTATTTTGTATAGATTTTGGTATTTTACTGTTGCGAGTGTGCTTCCAATTCTCCTTGTTTCACGGTGCAAGAGAGCCAAGAGGAGCATTGAAAACACAAGGCGTAAATGCTATCCTCAGCTCCCTCATGGGTTACCAGGGCTGTATTTACCTTCTTTATTGACCCCCTTAATGCCCCTGTTTATATATAAATATATATATATACTGTTTTTAATCAGTTGAACAAAGAGCTTTTTGTAGGAAGAAATGGGAACTTATGCTAAAAGAAAATATGTTGTGTTTGGGGGGATTAGGAAGACAAATATTTTCAGGGGTAAGGTTAGATAAAAAAAAATTTAAACCAATTGCCGTTGCTTTTTAACATAAGCTTTTTAATTTGAACATTAAATTCCTTAGTAATCACAAAGGGCTGTATTTACCGTAAAGAATTTTTAGGGCACACTGGTAATTTAGAGTGATTGCCAAACCAAACAGCATCCTAGTTGATTCTGATTTGCCATGATGGAGAGAAATGTTCTGTGTAGTTATTCCCAGTTCTGTTACATAGTTACATAGTTACATAGCTGAAAAGAGACTTGCGTCCATCAAGTTCAGCCTTCCTCACATTTGTTTTTTTGCTGTTGATCCAAAAGAAGGCAAAAAAACCCAGTTTGAAACACAATTTTGCAACAAGCTAGGAAAAAAATTCATTCTTGACCCCAGAATGGCAGTCAGATTTATCCTTGGATCAAGCAGTTATTACCCTACATTGAAAGATTATACCCTTAAATATTCTGTTTTTGCAAGTATGCATCTAGTAGCTGTTTGAACATCTGTATGGACTCTGATAAAACCACTTCTTCAGGCAGAGAATTCCACATCCTGATTGTTCTTACAGTAAAAAAAACTTTCCTTTGCCTTAGACGAAATCTTCTTTCTTTCAGTCTAAAACATGGCCTCGTGTTCTATGTAAAGTCCGGTTTGTGAATAGATTTCCACACAATGGTTTGTATTGGCCCTGAATATATTTGTATAATGTTATCATATCCCCTCTCAGGCGACGTTTTTCTAAACTAAATAGGTTTAAATTTGTTAACCTTTCTTCATAGCTGATATGTTCCATTCCTTTTATTAATTTTGTAGCCCGCCTCTGCACTTTTTCTAGTGCCATAATATCCTTCTTTAGAACAGGTGCCCAAAATTGCACAGCATATTCAATATATCTTACCAGTGATTTATAAAGAGGCAAAATGATATTCTCGTCCCGAGAATGAATGCCCTTTTTCATGCATGACAATACCTTACTGGCCTTGGCCACTGCTGATTGACATTGCACATTGTTGCATAGTTTGTTGTCTATAACAATTCCCAAGTCCTTTTCGTGTGTTGTTATCCCTAATTCGCTTCCATTAAGGGTATACTTTGCTTGTGTATTCTTTACGCCGAAGTGCATAACTTTGCATTTTTCAACATTAAATTTCATCTGCCAAATGAGTGCCCAGTCCCCCAGTCTATCTAAATCCCTCTGCAGCAAAGTAATATCTTGCTCACATTGTATTATTTTACAAAGTTTTGTATCATCTGCAAACACTGAAACATGACTTTCAATGCTGTCTTCAAGATAATTTATTAACATGTTAAATAGAAGGGGTCCCAGAACAGACCCCTGAGGGACACCACTTGACACCTCTGTCCAGCTTGAAAATTTACCATTAATGACAACTCTTTGTACTCTGTTTTTAAGCTAAGTTCTACCCAAGAACAAGCATTTTCACCTAGACCGATTTCCTTGAGTTTGAACACTAATCTATTGTGTGGAACTGTATCAAATGCCTTGGCAAAATCTAAATAGATCACACAGATCAGTTTCGCACCGGGGCCCCATGGATTGTGTGTACGCCACTGCATATGTCTGTGTGTATGGATGTTTGTATGCATGTATGTCAGTATGTCTGTATAAATGCATGTATATCAGTCTGAATGTATGTATGTATGTCTGTATGCCATTATGAATGTATTTATGTATGTATGTATGTATGTATGGATGTCAGTATCTGTATGTCTGTCAGTATGTGTGTATGTATGTATGTGTGTATGTATGTCCGTGTTTGTATGTATGTGTCTTTATGTCCTCTTGCATGTGTGTCTGTATGTATGTTAGTATGTGTCTTTCAGTCACTATGTATTCCTGTGTGTCTCTATATGTGTGTATGTCTCAGTATGTGTGTGTCAGTATGTATGCCTGTATGCGTGTATGTCTGTTTCAGTATGTGTGTCTATTAGTATGTATCTGTGTCCTTTTGTATCAGTGAGTGTGTTTGTGTCTGTGTGTGTATTCCTGTGGGCGGTATTTGGAGGCGGACCCTGTGGGCGGTATTTGGAGGGGGCCCCAGACCCTCAGCTGAGTTAGGGCCCCAAAATTTCTGTTGGCGGCCCTGTTTTGGTATAGTTTGATTGTTTGTGTAAACTGTAAAATAGTCTGTAAAACCAATGCTTCCCATTCCACTTATTAAGACAGCTGCAGAGGTCTGGCAGGAAATGTTTTCTGACCTTTTTTTGCATAGGTATGTTTACAGCATATTTGTTTTCTGAGGAGTTTGTGAATATTTTAATGGCACATGTCAGGAACAATAAATCTTAATGCAATGTATAGATTGTGGGCTAAATAATTAGCTGTATTTTTTGCAATTTGGTTTTATCATTTTTAATGTAGATTTGTATTAATGTTCTAAATAGATCACGGTAGAGGTACAGGTATGAACAAACATACTAATACAGAATTGACAATAGTGCATGAGATAAAATAAGGTATTCTCTGTATATAGCATGATAGTTATTGTTTTCTATACTATTTAATATTTAGTGACTGGGCAGTGTTTCAATCCAATGGAAAGTGCCACCTCTCGCAGTGTCTTCTGTTGTCAACACTGAAGGGAATAATGTTCTAGAATATAAATGTATCCCTCTAGGGGGAGCAACTGTCACATACAGAATATCCAGATCTGAGCAAAAGTTTCAGAGTACTGAGGAAACTGTTAAAGTAAAAAAGAGAACCGAGAAAAGAGAAAGGCAGAAGAAAGAGAAAAAGTGGAAGAAATTAGGAATTGGAGGAAGGGGGTCAAATTAAGCAAATTGAGGTTAGCAAATTGATCAATTGCTCCATGAATAGGATCAAGCATACAGCAATACTCTGATCTGCCACACCATTAAAACCACTGACAGGTGAAGTGAATAACATTGATTATATCATTACAATGGCACCTGTCAAAGGGATATATTAGGCAGCAAGTGAACAGTCAGTTCTTGAATTTCAGGTGTTGGAAGCAAAACAAAATGGGCAAGCCAAAATATCTGAATGATTTTGACAAGGAACAAAGAGTGATGAGATGTTCCCAGTATACAGTGGTTAGTTTCTACCAAACATGGTGCAAGGAAGGATTACTGGTGAACCGGTGTCAGAGTCCTGGATGCCCAATGTTTTTTGATACAAGTGGGGAGTGAAGGCTAGCCTGTCTGGTCCAATCACACAGATGAGCTATTGTATAGTAAAATCTTACCTTTATTCCAGTCTGCTTCTGTTGGCTCTGCCATGATCTACCTCCTTGGCTGACATCATCAGAAGCTGGGATCTTAGCCAATCACAATGCTTTAACATTGGGTTTACTGAGACTATCAAGGAGGCACATCAGGGGCAGAGTGAGCAAAAGCCAAATACAGCCCTGGCCAATAAACAGCGTGAGGAAGTCCAGCAACGCTCTAGCACAGAAAATCTGTGCTAGAGACACGGAAAGTGCCCTCTAGTGGCTGTCTAGTAGACAGCCACTAGAGGTGGAGTTAACCCTGCAAGGTAATTATTGCAATTTATAAAAAACTGCAATAATTACACTTGCAGGGTTAAGGGTAGTGGGAGCTGGCACCCAGACCACTCCAATGGGCAGAAGTGGTCTGGGTGCCTGGAGTGTCCCTTTAAGCATTTGTTTCTTTTCAAATAATTGTGAAAAAATGATCATAGTAGTGGCATAAAAATGTCTGGTAAACACAATATTATAAAAATATTGATGTAACTGAAACTGGGAATGGTAGGTGGCTCAAGGCAGGGTATGAAATTTTAATTGTACAATATAAGCACTTACTAGAGGCATAAAAGTAATTTGACTTTTAATGAAATTGCTGTAAAATTGTGCAATTTTCTGAAGCAAAGTAGATAATATAATATGTAATAATTATTCAGCCAGAATTAACTGTTTCCAACTGAGGAGGATATGAATAATAATTTCCATATGTTTTGTAATAGGTCCAATAAATTAATGCAAATCATATTAATGTTTGCTTTTCGCATTTAAGCATTCAAATGTGTGGTATTAAGAACATAACAGAAATACAGAACTTAATCCTTAAGGATGAATGCTATTGTCCAACTTCTAAACCAAAACCAGGAACTAGAGAAGTAGTTAACCCGGCAATGTAATTATTGCAACTTCTCAGAAACTGCAATAATTAGCTTTGCAGGGGACAGGGGCTGTTAGGCTTTAAACTTGTACAGGGTCTGTAACCCTTACGCTGCAATGGACTTATGCTGGTAACACATCCTACTTTCCTTAATCTTTGTATATTTTCACTGCAGAGAACAATTAATGTACAATTAAAGCAGACCAGTCATTATGAAGTTTAAGAAAGAAGTGCTCTTTTTTAATGTGGGTATAGCGTATACATGAAACAAAGACAGTTTTAATAGGGGTGTATTTCTTATATAACATTACGTATTACGTTATTCTACTGCACATGTCTAGCACGTCTTCTCGAAACTCTGCAGGGTTATCGTGTGAGAGAAAAAAGGGAGTATGTGTGCTTGCAGGATAGCAGACAGGGGATAGAATTCTTGCTTTTAACCCCTGCAGACGTGGAAAGAGTTAACTAAGACAAAAACTGATGTACATGACAGTCTTTGATTTAGAAACCCAATAAAAATTTTCAGGTGGTTAGAGAGAATGTTATGTTTTCCAACAGCAGGATGTTTATACACTATATAGGAAACTAGTGTCAGGCCCTCAACAGAAAAAATATAGTATGTTTAAAGAATGCCAGTTTAACCCTTTTAAAGCATGAGTATCTTGTATTATACTCAGGCTTACTGACCATTCAATCTTCCAAGCCCTGTATATAGTATATACTTTTAGCTAGTAATAAGAAATACAGAAGTAGAAAGCAGGACATGAGACTGACACCCTGTAACATATTATGTATAGCTCTGTATGTGTAGGGGAATATTCACTAAGCATTTCATAGGTTAAACAATTCATTCTTCATCAGGGGCACTGCACCCAAACCACTTCAATGAGAGGAAATGTTCTGGGTGCCTATAGTGTCCCTTTAATCCTACACTATCCCTGTCCCTAAAATAGCATTAACCCTTACCAGACAATAACCCATAAAGTTAACACTAATACTGACACTAGCTAAAACTAACAAACCCTAACATTAAAAGACCACTATAGGCACCAGACCACTTCAGCTCAATTAAGTGATCTGGGTGCCACATCCCTCTAGTTTTAACCCTGCAACTGAAAACATAGCAGCCTCTTGTGGCTGTCTCACTGACAGCCGCTTCCACGATTCTCACTGTGAAAATCACAGTGAGAAAACACTGGACGTCCATAGGGGAGTAATGCTTTCATATGGGCTGTTTGAATGCGCGAGGGAGCCCGGAACTGGAGAAAGGTAAGTGGCTGAAGGGGTTTTAACCCCTTCAGCCCAGCAGGAGGGGGGCCCTGAGGGTGGGGGGGCCAAATGACCCTATAGTGCCAGGAAAACGAGTTTGTTTTCCTGGCACTATAGTGCTCCTTTAAGGGATTCCCTCTGATAATGGCAGTACTAACATCAGCAAAGGCATTTCCTAGCTAAAACAGAGCGGTTTCTGAGCTCGATCTGATGGATGATTAAAGCGTGATAGGTATATCAGATATATGAGTATATCATATGCTACAGCTCCAGAATGCTGTTTCTGACGATCACAAATGCCAGGACAGGGCAAGCTGAATTTGGAAAAGCTTAAAATCATCATGATGTTAAGGGCTCTGCATACAGCTAAGACAGTGTGAGACCACTAAATATGGCCTCAGCTGACATAGGGGTTTCCCAGGTATCGATTGATACCTGGATTTACCAGGTGTGAGCAGGGCTTTACCCTGTTGACACCAAAACTTTAGGATGTTCCATGTTGTCCGAACAACCTTAAAACCCACCCACATTCAGTGCTACTTTGTGTAGACTACAGAGATTCTATTTGTGTTTTAACTATATACATTGTGTTCACAAATAGCTGCACTGGTTCATAGAAAGCTGTTCTGCAGTTTATGGGAGACATTTAGTTATCAGCTTTCTACAAAACAGGCTTATATTAGATTGAGCAAAACTCTATGGCTCATATTATCCTGAGCAAATTCATGTTTTACTGAATTATACTAAACTGAAGAATTCACAGTTTCAGCAGAAATCTGACAGTTCCTATATATAACATTATGTATATCACTATCTGGAGATGTCCCTGAGTGTCCCTTTTAGCGGTCCTTAATTACATTTTTAAAGCTGGTTGTGAAGTCCGTTTTTTCTGATATTATTTGAAATATTTATTTTATTGTTTTTGATTGACAGTGTTGTATTCTCTGGCTAGTGTGGCTGTAAGGAGAGACTCACAGGTCTCATTTTTTTTTTTTTTATTCTCTTGCTGCTTGTACAATTCTGAAATAGTAGGCTGGCCAATTAGGTGTGTAATTGGCAAAGCATCATGCTTCAGTGAACAGGAAAATAAAGAAGAATGAGAGTTTAAAAAAAAAAAAAAAAGCAGTTAGATTGTAGAGGAAGCCCACTAAATGGCATAGACATCTGTGCAACAGGACTGTTGGAGAGCGCAGTTAGGGGAAGAAGAACAGTCAAAATGACATGTCCTTGGCAGTGTTACCGTACCTATGTATTCTATTTAAGAATGATACATTGATAGTTACAAGGCAGGGATCTGCGGTGTGTGTAGCACTGCCAGCCTGCAGGTGGTAAAACTGATAAACTAACACAAGATAAGTGGAAAAATAAAATAGGAAAGAATACGAAAAATATAATCATAGGTAACAGAACAGTTGTATTGAACATGATCAAGCTAAACAAATAAGCAATAGGAGATTCTGAGGAAGCAAATTGCGAAATCTTGGATAAACCCCAGGTTTGGGGAGTGTTCTTATACTGTTCAGCAGGTACAGGATTTAGGAGGGTGGGTGGGAGGCCAAGTGAGCTAAAGAACAGCATCTCTTAATTTGACAATATTAACCATGGAGCCATTATGCTGCACATGTAAGAAGTTTGTAATACCCCACTTATAAAGGTGAGCAGTTGTAGTGATTACCACCAGAGGAGAGTGCTCCTACTTAAAGGGACAAACCACTGCCCAAATACAAATAAACAAGTCACTGTTTAGTAGATATACCCTAAATGAAAACTTGCATGCATTTAATTATGTATTTTTTCATTGGGAATATACCTACAATCAGCTTGCAAAACCTGCAGTTCTCTTGTCTGCTGTGTTTGCAAACTCTCCCCTTCTAACCCCGCCCAGACATTTTGTGTCTGTCCAATCACAGACTTCCCAATACAGCTCAGTGAGAAGTCTTTGTAAGGCAGGTGCTCTGAGCAGTTGCCGTCTCTTGAGGTCAGCTGCATTGGGCTAACAATACCAGGAAGTAGCATTACCTGGTGTCTGCTTGAAAGCCAGGGGGGTGTAACCAGGTTAACTTATAAAAGTGCCAATTTCTATTGAAATATGTACTTTTTGCAAAATGAAAAAAGAGGACACACTCATCACACACAATACTTTTTAGCAAGCTAAAGTTGTTTTTGGGTCTGAAGTGACTCTTTAAGTGAGCAAAGAAAGTCAGGTACCCTCAAACTGAGATGACAGTTTTCCTTTTTTTCTTTGCAGTCCCAGGTTGCTGAGGGAGGTACTCATGGAAGCTTAGACAAACTGAACACGCTGTCTAGCTGTATGGCCTTGGCAATAAGTCTGCTAGGAGTCTGTGGCAAAGGTGTGGATGTTCTTCATCCAGATCATTATACAACATTTATTTCCCTATGTGTATCTTTGAGGTCATGCAGATGGAGAGATATGATCTGGTGGTTTTGGTGAAACTCTTGCACTATACCTTCCTAAAAAAACGGCTTACTCCACATGTGCCCCAAGATCCACCTCAGCATTAGTGAGCTGTCTAGAATATTTTTTCCCACCTCACTACATGTCCTGGTGTAACTTATAGAACAAAGTCTCAATTACCAGGCTACTTAGAGTTCTTTCTGGCGTTTGTTATTTTGCTTTGCGACCCATTTCAACCCAGTAATAAAAGTGAGTCCCAGTCTCAATTCCTGCCTCTTTGTTTTTGTGCACAATTTTAAGTTTATTTACCAAATGAGTATACTTAAAATAAAATAAAAAGTGGTTTAAACCAGCAAGACTTCTCTCAATATAAGCCACCTTAACACTCTTGCTGGATTATTTTCTATCAGGTTCTATTACCTTATCAATAACCATTAATATTTTATAAAATACATTTCAGGAGTCTGTATACGTTCAATAAACTGAATTACATTTTGGAATTCATGAGTGTAATGAGATCTCAATATATTGTCCTAATCTTTCTAGCTGTAGTGAGCCAAGGGCTTTATGGACACCCTCCAGATCTTTGAGATGGAGGTTTAGTTTGTAATTTTATCAGGTAGTGGGGTACAGGTGAAAGGACATTAACTAATTACTTTTGAGGTGACATCACTGTGACATTGTTATTCTTTTCCTATGTATGAAGCGCGCATCTGAACCTCAATTTGTCTCGGTGGTTGTTTGTAGATAAGCACACACTGAAGGCTACTAGCCTTATTCAGTTATCGCAGATAGGAATATACTGCAGTTTAATGGGTTGGTTGGTTTCTAGTTAAATAATTGTTCCAATTCTAATTACTTCGTCTAAAATTTCAAACTAAAATTACATTTTTTTTTATTTGGATACATCTTGGAATGTGAATATATCCCACCACTGGTGTATAAGTGGAGCGCTTTAGATTTGAAACGTACCCCTATGGGTTAACACAGTTTTCATTTTTAAACAATTTGTTTCAATATATGAATCTGTAACAATAAAGCTAACATAGTGCAATATTGTAGTGACTGCATGTTAGTTTTATTGTTACAGTTTCATATATTGAAACAAATTGTTTAAAAATGAAAAACTGTGTTAACCCATAGGGGTAAGTTTCAAATCTAAAGCACTCCACTTATACACCAGTGGTGGGATATATTCACTTTTCACTTCTGTGTGCACCTTTTCTATACTAATTTGTAAGGGAGAGAGTCCCTATATTTGTGTGGTAGCTGTTAAACCAATTTATAATATCAAAAATATTTTCCAAAGTGGCTACTTTTTGCACACTTACATTTGTTTAATTTCAACCTCTTGGAATGTATTATCTTACACTATTTTATTTTGTTAATGTATTTCTGTACTCCTCTTTTTTTTCAGATTGATATTCTGAAAGCAGACATGGAGAGTGCAGAGTGGAAGATCTTGGAGAATCTGATTTTAGAAGGCATTGTGGATCAAATAGGACAATTAGTAGTGGAAATCCACCTTCACTGGCCAGGCTTTGAAGTCAGCGGGAATGACAGCAGTGTGGTTAGATATTGGTATAGCCTTTTTAAAGAACTAGAACGAAAGAGCTTCAAGCTCTTTTACACTTACAAAGACTTAAATAAACCACAAATGTTGCTGAAAAAGGAAATCTTCAATGCAAGTAGTAGCTATATCCTAAGCTGGGTAAATACGAAGTGGACGTGATACAAACACAAGGACATATAGTGCTTTGAAGCAACTTACCTTCTAATGCAGTCTATTTCTTTATGAGAGGTTTATGATGGCAAAACTAAAAGGTATTGTGTACCTAGTGAAAGTGTTATATCTTAATAAGGGATACAGGATGCTAGGAAATGTTTTGTTCCTGGTACACAAAATGGGAAATGGGAATTCAATATATTATTGAACGGATGCTCGAAGAAAGGAGGTTAGTGCCTCCACCCAGAATCCCTGGAGCAATAAGTCCACCTCCTGCATCACAAGCATCATAGAAGGACGTTTCCTCTTCCCCTACACATGTACAGTGTATACTTGCTGGGCATGTGAATGCAGTACAAATCAACATCACGAGGAGTATAGGGGACATTTTAGCATACCTAATGACAACAGTTTGATGGTTAAGGTTAGCTGACAATTGTAAGCTACCTTATTGACCAGGTCTGGGCAAACAGTAGATCAATAGATCACCAGATGTTCGAGAACGTCATCTGCAATGATGCTTGGCAAAGCATCATGGAAGTTGTAGTTCTACAACATCTGGGGATCTACCATTTCCCTCCAACCCTATTCTAGACTGTTTAGAGTTCACTGCACGAAGATGCAATTGCTGGGGAGATGCAGGAACCAAAGGAATGTAATTCTTTCTTCATCTTTTTATTTTTCCTTTTTTGTTTAATATATTTTCTTTTTATTGTAATGCATTATGAAAACTGTGTATCACCTCCACCCAGGAGTGTCACTTTATTTATTTTTTATTATGCTATAGTGATTTATGGGGGTAAACAAATAGAGGTGATAATCTGCTTCAACTAAATTTCTATGAAATGTTATAATGCCAGATATTTTGATGTATTTTTTATGTTATGTATAGGAAAGCTGCAACATATTAAGGGGATGCGAATATTGATAATACATATTTGTGAGTTTCACAAGTTAAATCAGTCATTTAACTGCAAAATACTCTTTTAAATAAGGCAAATAAACCAATGGCTTGTTTGGAATCGACCACATTTAAAAAGAATAGGCTGAGAAATTCTGTCTCCATTTTGATCGGCAAGGATATTTTGTTAAAAGCAACACAACTGGATTGTGTTTAAGGTAATTCCATTGTTTTATATTGAAGTATTTATTTAAGGTCAGTCCATGTGCCTGTCAAATGTAATGTGTTAAAATAATAGGCTGGACCATTTGACAAGTAAGATATAATTAAATGTATTTTTTAAAATCACCATTTTGTTTGCACAAAAAAAAAAAAAAATCCCAAATGAACAATCACAGACAAGGACAAAACAATAAATAATGGTATCAGGTGGTCTATGGTGACAGCTGTGATATGTACATACGTTTAATACAGTGACTTTGTCTCGCCTGAGAATGCTTCAGATATGGATCTTCACATTGTACACAATAAATCTATGGTGGATCTGTACTCCGGACTTTGATTTTTTTTAATCAGTGCGCCACTGACAAGGTCAGGATTTACATATTAAAGAAAATTAAAAACTTAGCATTATGACATTCCTTTATAATACTCATCTCGATAAAACGGGAAAATGAAGTAACTCTAGAGTCCACATTTCTGGCTGTATGAAAGTAAGTTTCACTAGCCTAATAATTTTAGAGAAATTGCAATACTTCAATAAATGCTCTGCAAATGGCAAATATGTAAGGAAGGGCTATTTGTTGAAGTTTGAATCATCAGGAGTGCAAAGTGAAGTCCAAATTTTAAGTCACAACAGCTGAACTGAACAAAAACAAACAAAATCTCATAGTCAACTATATTTTCAATGTGTCTATACTGGCTTAAAATTCACTTTGAATTCCAGACAATTTAAACTCTAGTGAGTAACCCTGAATGGTCACCTGGTAAACTGGGAATTGTGGAATTGCATTTTTAAAGACAAAACAATCAAATAAAAAGAATTCTTCACATCAAGTATTTTGTCCTAAACTTTCCATTCCTCTTGTCAATTTTCACTATTATCCTCTTAGCACACAAAACAGCTAACATTTCTGTTTTTAGTGTCTACCTGTGAAAACTTAGAATATACTTTGCACTTTGAAAACCATACCTCCGAACCCTGAAAGCAGCTGTTCAAAAAATGAAAGAATGCTGGGGTCTAGATACATATATGAAGACAGTATGATGGCTAACCTTGACACCATAAATTGTTTCTGGACTACATTTCTCACGATGCTCAGCTAGCTTTTAAAGTCTAAAAGCTAGCTGAGCATCGTGGGAAATGTAGTCCAGAAACAATTTATGGTGTCAAGGTTAGACATCACTGATACTAGACAGGCCTCAAGCCTATTGGAGAGAGGTGATATGTGTATGCTCTATTTTGGTTTTTGAGTCCAATATTTTTCCGTTTATTTCTCTCCATTTAGTTCTGGAATATAAACTGCAATTCTACGATACACGCTCATAAGTCTCCAGTTTTAATTAAGCGTCATTACTGGAGATGATGATGTTACATGGAACAGGGCCCTTCCTCAAATAACACCAAAACATCTAGAAAAACTATGTGCACCTATCACTGCAGATGAAGTGTTGCGCGTAATTGAAAATATGCCGAAAGGGAAAACACCAGGTCCAGATGGATACACTAGTGTATACTATGCTACATTTAAACATGAATTAACTTTAGCTCTTACTAACTTTTTTAATAATGCCACTAGATTGGGATCCTTTCCGAAGGAGTTCCTGTCTGCTCATGTAATTACTATCCCTAAACCTGGGAAATCGTTAACGATGTGTCAAACTTTTAGACCAATATCTTTATTAAATGTTTATGATAAACTTTATGCTAAGATCTTTGCAGAAAGACTCAGTAATATCATACCGACATTAACACACACGGATTAAGTGGGATTTGTGATGGGCAGACAGGGACCAGATAACATTCGGAAAGTGCTAGCTTTATATAGAATTTAAAACGTACCAAACAGGAGAGTATTATGATATCCCTTGATGCCAAAAAGGCGTTTGATCGTTTGAACTGGTCATTCCTTCAGGAAACTTTAGCGGCCTATGGATTCCCATCCTTTTTTCTTTCTGCAGTTAAAGCTTTATATACTGCACCTTCAGCAACAGTATTGTATGCAGGTTTCCAGTCGCAAGTTTTTTCAATCACTAATGGGACCCGTCAGGGATACCCACTATCTCCACTTCTTTATGTGCTAGCCTTGGAACCTCTTGCAATATCAATACGGAGAAATGCTAACATCCATGGTGTGTTAGTAGGCAACAAGGAGTATAAACTTAGCCTATTTGCCGATGATGTATTTCTTACAATAACGCAACCATTTATAACACTCCCTTCTTTGCATAAAGAATTGCAAATATACAGTCAACAATCATACTATAAACTTAACATTGTAAAAATGCAAGCTGGGTCTTAATACTACTAAAGCAATGGAAGACAGATTAAAAACAAGCTATCAGTATGATTGGAGAGAAGATTACTTAATATTTTTAGGTGTCAGAATAACTAACAAAGAGAAAGAACTTTTCTCAGCTAACTATACGAAGCTTCTGAAAGAAATTGATAACCAACTGGATTCATGGAAGCATTTGTTCTTATCTTGGGTGGGAAGGATCGCAGCTCTTAAAATGTCAGTCCTACCAAAGAATTTATATCTTGTTAGATCATTGCATATTAAACTTCCGCAAAAGTACATATTGTCTCTCCAAGCATCTATTGTATGTTTCAGCTGGGGCGGCAAACACCCCAGAGTACCTGAAGCTCTACTTTTGAGAAATGTGACGAACGGAGGAATGGGAATACCAAATAAAAAAGCATATTATCACTCAGCCATTTTAATGAATGTTATCAGCGCTCATTCAACGGACTATTCCCCCCAATGGGTAGCAATAGAAAGTAATTATTGCAGAACACAAGACCTTTCAACAACACTCTGGAAACCTTATCAAATGAGGCAAAGAACGGAAAATATGTTATCTTCCACAAAACATCTTCTTAGAATCTGGGACACTTCTAGGGACAAAATATGCTCAGCATACCCATGAGCCCTTGCGACCCCAATTAAAATTTTATTTACTATCATTGGTTAAAGCGAAGGAGACAATACAAGGTTTAAAATAAGTATTGTTTGAATGTGTGTATTAATTATCATTGTAATTTACTTTATATAATTTAAGACACACAAGCTAAATAAGATAGGGTATGTTCTGGGAATTTTGACTATATAAAGTGATGAACTATACGTTACAATATTGAAGATATGTATAGAGATAAATTATCTTGTTTGGATGGCCCCTTCCCCCTTTTTCTTTTTCTGTATCCTTTATTATTTGGAAAAATAAAATAAAAGAGTAAATTGAAAAAAAAAAAAGAATATTCGAAGCAAAACATCTGAAAGAAAAGAAACTGATAGCCGAAATTTGGACCTTGAGCATGGCTGGATTCAATCCTTTCGCAAAGCTCATCTGAAGGAATTTAAGGATGTTAGGAATGGAAGTGGTAACTGGATTTTCTTTGAACTTAATACATTACAAACAAAACTTCTTCCATATTCTGGAATAAATCTTGGAAGTAGATTCTTTTTTAGCACACATCAAAATCTTAATAACTTCAGGAGACAAACCCTTTCCCTTTAATATCTGGTATTCATATCTTCTGTAGAATCCTGGGAATTAGAGAAATAGGAGGAAATGCATAGGCTAGGCTGAAATTCTATGGAATAGAAAGGGAATCTATGACCTCTGGTCCATCTGAGGGGTTCAAAGATGCAAATCTTCTTGTTTTCTTGTTTCATCTTGAAGCCATCAGGTCTATTTCTGGATAACCAAATTTCTTTGCTATTTGACTGAAGATCTTGGAAGAAAGGGACCAGTCTAGTTGTTTTAAATGTTGATGACTTAGGGCGTCTGCCAGAATGTTGAATTCTCTTTTTATGTGTACAGCTGAAATAGACAGAAGGTGAAACTCTGACCACAGCATGATTCTGGAACAAAGATTTTCAAACCAGTTGACCTTTTTCCTCCTTGTTTGTTTATATACGCTACTGTTGTAGAATTGCCTGACCTGAGGTTTAGATAAAGTTGTTCTTTTGAATCTGCAATTAAAAGCCAGTCGTCTAAATAAGGGATGACATTGATGCCTCTTACCCTTAAATCTGCTGAAATAACTACCAGAATCTTTGTGAACACTCTTGGGGCTAAAGAAAGACCAAAGGGAAGAGCTCTGAATTGATAATGCAAAGTCTGTCTCTGGAAGTTGATTGCGAACCTTAGGAATCTTTTGCGATGGGAATGTGTAAATAGGCGTCTTTTAGATCTAGAGAAATCAGCCAATTGCCTGCTTGAATAATGTGATTTGCAGACTTTATTGTTTCCATATGAAACTTATTTTTCAGAGTAAACTTATTGACGGTCTTGAGATCTAGAATGGGTCTGTAAGGGGGCGTGGCTTAGGCTCTGACCGGGATGGACGCGTGATTTGGGAGCTCCACTCCACCGGCGCTGTAAACAGCCTACTAAATAGCACAAACTAGCGTCTATGGGGCGCCACCGACGCACCGAGACCCCCCAAACCCCGAGGGGTACACAGCTGGGCCAGACACACCGCCCGATGGACGGGTTCCTCCAGACCCAGCCTGATGCGACAGAGGGAACAAGCGGATCCAATATGGCGCCGACGGCATCATCCCCCAGGGAACCACATGGTGCGGCACTGGAAAAGATTGGAGAAGAACTCCGAAATATGGCAACTGCAATGGCCACGAAAGCTGACTTACTAGTCCTGACTACCACCATACAGGACGCTCTGAGAGCTGAGATGGCAGGGCTCCGGACGGAGGTAACTGCGCAAGCGGGCCGCATCCAGGAACTGGAACGCACACAGGGGGCACATGCTGCGAGACACCAAGCAACAGACACGGCTCTCACGCGCCAAGGGGAGCTGTTACTCCACATGAGAAGGTCAGTTGAAGACCTAGATAACAGGGGGCGCAGATGTAACATTAGGGTCCGTGGGGTCCCTGAAGCTGAGGGTAGGGAGGAAAATGCGGCAGACATTTTATCTAACCTATTCCGCATGATTTTGGGAGAGGAAGCACCCCAGACTCTCAAATTTGAACGCGCACATAGAGCTCTACGTCCCCGGTCCCTGGAAGAAGGCCCACGGGATTTGATTTGCTGCCTCCACTCTTTTAGAGATAAGGACGCTATCATGAAAGCGGCCCGTTCCCGCCAAACCTGGGATTTTCAAGGGGCCTCAGTTTCTCTATATAGCGACCTCTCGCCCATCACGCTTGAAGCCAGGAGAGCGTTAAAGCCCATAACCACAGCCCTGCAGGAGCGGAATATCCCTTACAGGTGGGGCTTCCCCTTTGCCCTGCTGGCGTGCAACCAGAATGGATGGGTGTCGATCCGCTGGCCCGAGGAGGTCCCACGGTTCCTGGAGGAGATGGACCTGCCTCCGATATCAGTCCAAGATTGGGTTCTAGGCCCACTGGGTGGGAGACCACGCCAACAGAGAGCGCCCCGCAGACGTGGAGACAACCCACCAAGAGGCCCGGCTCCCCGCAGACGCATCAACCCGGAGGCACCAGAGTGACAGGTGAGCCCTACACCGACCCCTCTACCCCCCCCCTAGACACCCCACTGAGGAGGACACCCCAACCTGCACAGGCGCTAGGATGGGAACTGACGCAGTCCCCCATATACACACCGGGCATGTTAGCCCTATAAATGACTCCATACCCCTCCCAGAGAGTTGGTCTGAGGCTTCATCTACCCTCTCCGCTTTCGAGACATGTTGAATGGGGGCGAAAAGGAACTGCCTCTCCCCCTCACGGACCGGGAGGCGCTGGGAACACATCTGAACCAGCGAAAGACACCACGGAAACTCATTTGGGAGGTGGGCTGCTATAGGGCATTCTT